GTCCATTAAAGACGCAGGGAACAAGAGTATCATGAATATGGACAGAAGCCTCTACTAGACAACGAATAAACATTCTTGTTCCGAAGCAGCGAAAGTGGGGAGATTCGTTCGAAAACTGGGGATTGGTTCGAAGAAAGATGAGTCCACCAGCATCTCCCCAGTGGCCAATCATACCATTGATTCATTGATTCCCAAGAATGTGATGATAGTTGCCGGTATAATCATGGTAAGTTCACCCCCCTGTTGGGATATGGGGCCCCTATATGGTTTTTATACGTCATCTGGTCATGGGATCCAAGGGATACCCACCTTGGGATGCAGGTGCCTTCGGCGTGGTCTACAAGGGTTTCAAACGCGATGGTGAGGCGAAACCGACGCAGCCGACTCGCTAGCACAATGCATGAATTATCATGGTTAATCAGGGAAATCATTCCCAAATGGCCGCAAGATTCAGTTAGTGAAATATTATCATTTACCCAGATTATTTTATAGTTAAAACCATGTGCATACTGTATATTCAAAAGCATACCGCACTGTGTCCAATTGTTTGGGCCATGTGTTTCCATTTGTGTGCGGTTCTGTCCCCATATGTTTGATACGGGGGTCAGTTGGGCTGTAGATCCTGAATGTTCCAATTAGTTTGGAACTGGCTAGATGAGACATTCCTAGTTCCTTTTGTTGGTTGAAGTCACCAGTCAGGTAGGTCGGGTTTTGGTTGTGGTGTTGTGTTTCAACTCCCTGTGGCAGAGATTCTCTGTAGAACCCCCCAAACAGAATGTAGAAAAGCATCAAGTTCATCAATTTCACCGCTGTTTCAGACTCAGATTTCACAGTTTTCAGCATATGTTTATTGGTTTTGGTGGTTTTAGTTGTTTTCTGGTGGTTTTTCGGTTTGTTTTCACACCAATGTTTGTTGGTCGCCAGCTTTGTTTCAGGAGGTGGCCTTGAAGGTCTCTGAAAATGCCACTGCCACGCAGCCCATGCTGGATCAGGCACCAGACAAAACCCGCTGTGGAGAGCTATGAAAATACCTGGGTGTCTTTAAGGTTTTTGATTTTCCCAATGGAAAATCCACCATGACTGGGGAATCGATTAGGTGAAAAAATAATGACTGGGGAATCGATTAAGTGATTTTTTTGGGGGGGGGGACCCCGAATCAGCAAATCCAAGAATATGGGGGAAAAACAATCCATAAATCTGGAATGGAGGATAACCACTAAAATATGGAGGAATAACAATCATCATAAAATATGGATGATGTTCAATAGGCATGTTTGATTTTTAGGATGGTAAGCAGTAAGTATGGAGAAAACACATGACATTAGGGACGTACTTAGCTATACAATTAGCTGCAAATAGAGGTTTTAAGCACCGAAAATGGTTACGCAATAAAAACGTGTATCTAGCATTACCTAGCTCAAAAATGAGATACCGAAAAGAAAAAACACAGTTCCTCCTTTTTTTCGGTGGTGAAGTAGTTTGACCATTGTCAGGAACACAGCGATTTTGGGAGGTCAAAGTCCAAAAAAAAAATCCGGGCGCCTGTTTCTGTTTTGTGGGACAAATCCCAATTTTCAGGTCACAAAAAAAAAATACGATTTGTTCATTTAAGAAAACAAAACCATTTGCATCCATCGGTCAATGTTACTATAATTGTTAGTTTAAAATTAGTTTAAAGAAAAATGAACAAGTTGTTCGTTAATCCTTTTGCCCTGGCTAAACCACTGGCTGAACCGTGTTTTTTTTGCCGAAGTTCCATGTGTCGGCGTCCGTTCCAAGGAGATCAATATCTTGAAGATGTTGGACCATCCAAGCATTGTCCGCAGCTCAACCAGCCGATTTTTCGACAGTTGATCCCTGTTGAACCCTAAAGTCTCGCAGGAAGTTCTGGGAAAAAAACGGGGCAAATGTCCTGAAAAAAAATATGAAGGTGTATCAAATTACCCCACAAAGTGCAAAGCACCAGCCGGAAGATGAAAGTCAAATAGATTGGCAGAAATTGGAGCAGAGCCACGTCCAACGGGAATTGAACAGGACAAGAACTGGCGGTCAAACCGGGGATAAATTCAACACGATCTTAACTGAAGACCGCTGAACATCCAAGCCTTGGAATGTGTGTGTGTGTATGTGTGTAATGGGACTAAAATGGCCATAGCGCGTTGTTTACATGGCCTAATCACACGTTGATACATGTTCATTGAAACAATGGGAGCATTGTTTGGTGCCCCCTGGTGCCACGGCCACGAGGTGAAATTCTATGACGCCTTTGTTGACAAGGAGAGTGACTGGATGATCATCGTCCCTCGGTTCGAAATCATGAGTGATTCAGCTTCAGCTTCCAGTGCTTGAATGGCTTGGATGTTGAAGGCAAGATTTACCTGAAACCCTTGGATTTAAATGTTATAAAATACCATAAAAATACCATAAAATACCATATAAAACCATGGTTTCCTGCTTTTTGTTTCCAAATCTCCCCGGCGAACCGCCGCAGATCTCCATTTTGGGATGGGTGCTGTTTCGGGGACTCAAAGACGGTTTCGATACAACCAGGCCAGATGATTGGAGTTCTTTCAATTGTCTAGACTCTACTAGACCTAGATCCTGAAAAACTGAAAAATCTTCAGCGAAAAGAAACTGAGGCTTTAGATATCTTTAGATCCATCGCTGCCATTGCAGATTGTTCCTCGGATCCCAGGCTATGGAGCTGGTCTCCGGTGGCGATCTCCTATCTTCACTGACCGGTGAACCCCAAGTCTACGAGGAGCGCGGAGCGGATTTTCATGAGGAAATGACGTCCTAAATTCCCAACCTTCACCTGAAATGGCTAGTATAAACCCTCGGTTTTATTGGGTCTACCACATCATGGTGTCAATTTCAGAGGGAATTAGAACATCATGGTACTGTATTGGTACTGTTTTAATGGTCTGCAAACTGGATTTTTTTCAGGATGTATTCCAGGAACGAATGATGAACCGTTCCAGGAGTCCCACACGGAATAATTCTCGATGTGTTTATTCATTTCGATATGATATGTCATATTCATTCCTATGTGCCATGTCTACAGTCTATATACATACATACAATACAATACAATACAATATTATACATACATTACATACATTACATAACATAACATAACATAACATATCTAGATAATATATATATAGGTGTATGTAACTAACGTACATGTAACATGTACCCTTCTTGACCTTTCACCGTATTTGTGGCTCAGCTGTCACCATGTCGGGGCGCTGGATGCAGCGTCTGGGGCAGATCTCACGGTGCCTCTGCAGTGCCTCGTCGGTGTGTTTGAAGATGGTGTATATCACGAAAATGGGATATTTTCACCATTATCCCCAACATTTAATGATGTTTAATGATGTTTAATGATGTTTAATAGGGCAAATTGTTATAAACAATCCAAAAAAATTGGGGAGTATCCGAATTTTCGACCGAAATCTCTTCAGTTGGGACATTGAATCTCACTACTGTTTGATGTTTCAATCCTTATTTTGGTGGTTAACATGGGTAATATTGCCAGTTTTGATCAGTTTTGATATTGAAACAATGGCGATGCTTGACAGTTAACATCGGGTCATCCACAGAACGTATCCCATGTAATGGTTGGTCAACACACGGAAGTTGCAATGGATGAGTAGCTTCCACCATCAATGAAAAGGGGCTGTGAAACAGATGAGTTTGTGCCCAATACTTGGTCATGGGGAGAGTTTTTTGAGTGAGCTTAGCTATTATCCGCTTGTAAATGGCATGACTCGGTTTTGGATGGTTTATGAACTATGATTACTAGCCACGTAACTTGTAAGGCCTGCAAAAACTGGTTTTCAACCAGTGACATTAGATATAGAATCTGGACTAAAAGCACCATTTTGGACTTTGGACCATTGAAGTCTCGAACTGTTGTATCTGAAGAGGCGGCCATGGTTGGGCCCCGCTTCAGCAAGGCGCTGGTCCTTCCACGGAAGGCTTCTTTAGCCTCAGCGCCAAGAATATTGATGGGTATCTCGACAGAAATGGTGGTGTTAGAAAGTGCTTTAAGATGCTTTAATGTGTTTAAAACAATGCCATGTTTACCATCCCCCAGCCATCACCGTGTTTATAGGTGGTATGGTTACCATTCCCAGTCATGGGTTTATGGCATGGTTTTAACCACATGACGCCATATGTACATGTTGGGTGCTTAAAAGAGGCCTCATCTGCAGGCGCGAATCATGGAGTTGGATTAAAGGGAGATATTATATGTTGAGCAATGGTGCATCAATTGTCAATGGTGCAATGTCCATGATATATTGAGGTGTCCTGCAAGTTTCCCCTGAGACCAAGTCTTAGAATAAACTGATGCAAAATGAGGTGGTGGTTGGCCAAAACCCAAACCAAAAAGTGCTTCTTGTTCACATTCATTTCTGGGGATGTCAAAACGCCCCACTGTAGGTATCACGAGTTGATCAACAGAAATGGAGATGCAAACAGTAAAAATGTGTGATTCCAGACACAGTGGAAGGAAATCCAAAAGTGGGGACACGAGCAGAACTGAAGAAAACCGGGATTCAGCCTCCAACAATGACGCCCTCCTGTACAGGTACAACTGGCTTTACAACTCCATTGATCTGTAGCATTTGAAACCCCGATTGACAACATTAGCATTGCAGTAGCCCATGAAGTGGAGTCCCTAGCCCATGATATTGTGAAGATATGTGAAGCATCCGGATTTTGTATTCCAGTCTTGGTGATATCCCCAAGTTTCTCCCCACTTTTCCGTAATTTCTGGACCATCTCTGAGGCAAGAGATCGCGTTTTCATCCCTACGGCGGCCGGTGCTGGTAACGAACGTGGCATCTAGATGAGGATTCACCAAGAAACACTACAAGGAGCTGATCGAAGCCTGGCACTGCCTGAAAAAATGATGTTTAAACAAGATAAAAATTGTGTCATGTGGCTAAAACAATGCCATAAACCATCCATGACTGGGAATGGTTTCAATCCCACCTATTTATTCAGTGAAATTGGGGATTGTTTATTCTTGTTTTACCAACATTAAAGGGAAGCATCCTCAACAGAGCCTTAAAACATCTTAAACCGGTCTTGTGGGCTGTAAATGATTTGCCCTTGTCAGCAATGGACCTGATTTTTGCAACCCTAAGGAACTGAACAAAGAGGTCGCTGGATTGACGATCATGGCATTTCCATGCAACCAATTTGGAGCGCAAGAGCCAGGCCAATATCGCACCGTTTTGATTCGTAGATCTTGGTGACGGGTTAGTATGTTAATGAATTTGTTGTTCTGTATATAAACTTTTGCAGGGTATCTAAGTTTGCCCACGGCAACTTCAAGGGCAAATCGCACCCTGACTCTATCTTTTGTTTCGGCATAGTTAAGGCATGGGAAGGGGAGCAGAATTGGGTTCTCAATATTTCGGATCCAAAAAAAAGACGAGCAGATTTTCTCAGTTTGAACCAGTTGGGAGCCATGCATCCAGGCACTGCATCTGAGATCAAGAGCTTTGTGAAGGTGCCGCGAATGGTCGGAGGTCATGATGCTGTTTGGATAGGCGTTGCTTCTAGATGGATGATGGGTTGTTTTCAGCATTTGCCAATTTGCTTCGCCATATCTTGAGGATGTCTTTTATTTTAAAGCTGTATCTAGGGCCAGAAAGAAAAAAAAATGATAATTGTCTCATTGGAACGAGCTGTTGACCTGTCAGGAACTGATCCGTAACGATGCTGCAGTTGCATGATGGTTTTGCAGCAGTGTGACTAGCTTTTCCTTGGTAAATCAATATGACATCATGGCTGGATGGAGAAAAGAAAGAAGATGTGATTCCAATTTCTGTAGATCTTCAATCCGTCGGACAAATAGAAAAGTAATCACTAAAACAACTGGTTGGTGGTTTGGAACATGAATGTTATTTTTCCATATATTGGGAATAATGATCCCAATTGATTAATATTCCACCAACCAGACAACATCAGCTTCTGTAAATTCATCGTAGATCAGCTGGCTGCATTTTCCCTGGCAGGAGCAGGGCGCATCTGTGGATGATCCTGATTCAGGTGGAGGGCTACTGAAGTTTGGGTGGCTATAGTTGAGTTTGAATCACTATCTGGTTTAGCTTGGTTTAGCTTGGTTTAGCTTGGTTTAATGGTTTGTGAATTATTTCTTTTTCTGGCATTTAGTGCAGATGGTCATGGATTGAGTGACCTTTCCAAAAGAAATCCTCAAACACGTGGTGGCTTTTTGGAACGCTGACCAGTTCGGGGAAAGGCGGCATAAGTCAATGATACCCTCTGGTTATTTAACATAGCCATGGAAAATGACCCATTTATAGATGATTTTCCCAGCTATAAACCTCCATTCAGTTCAGGATTTTCCATGGCGAACTGTTAGTCATAACCAGGTTGGGTAGGTCATCCGGCGTCAGGATTTCTTCTCATGGAGAAGGTGGAGGTGAATGGTCCGGGCACACATCCCGTGTACGCCTTCTTGAAATCCTCCAGCCACGCTGCTGACATCAAGTGGACTCTCAGCCAAGTGGGTGACATGTTTTCAAACTGCAGTCATTTTCAATATTCTCACAAGCTCTATGTATAGGATTTCTCCGAAACCCCAAAATCCCATAGATGCCATAGTTTGTCAGTTGATCATCATTACCCCATTGAAATTGTAACTAAATCAAGGCTTTTCCGTTGATCCGCATATCATTTATGGAGGTCTCCATAGGTCAACCACCTGTTTCGCGAACGCAGCATGAGTCTGGGTCCAACCTGTGTCATGTTTTTCACTCTTCAGGACATATCCCATGGTTGAAAATGCTACATGTCTGTCCCATTGTTGATGATGAAATCCCGCTATTTTTCATTCAGTCCCCATTTTGTATGGTGAAATCCCATTTCCCAGCAGCTTTGGCTTCGGGTCACAAAATTAAATCACCCCAAAAGTGCTACCCACTGGTTCTGTTCTAAGTAATTCCAACGATATGTTTGATGGTTGCTCCTGTTGTTGAGGATTAAGTCCCATGTTTCTGCCTCTATGGATGAAGAATGATTATTCCATAATATGATTCCCCACTTGTTCAATCACCGTTGTTCTGGTCCCTTCATGTCTTCCAGACGAAAAAATATATTCCCATTATATCCTCCATTATGATATTCGATATTTATAGTATCCCTTCTATATCCTATCAAGTCCTATATCCTATATCCCCATTATGAATCCATTATGAATCCATTATTCCGGTTATTTAACATAGCCATGGGAAATAGCCCATTTATAGATGGTTTACCGTTCTTAAAACTGGTGATTTTCCATGGCGAACTGTTAGTCATAACCAGGTTGGGTAATCCATTATTGATCCATTGTATCCCCATGGATTATCCCCTTTACCCTCTGGTAATTTAACATAGCTATTGAAAATTGTCATTTATAGTGAGTTTTCCCATTAAAAATGGTGGATCTTCCCATAGCTATGTTAAATTACCAGAGGGTAATCCATTATTGATCCATTGTATCCATTGATTCAGGTTGGTGAAATATCAGAAAAATTACCCAGATCCATCATTCATCCATTATTGATCCATTGTATCCCCAGAGGGGCATGTTTCTGTCCAAAAATCCAGGAACTTCGCTTCTTACTTCCTGGTGACCCGCTCCGGCGCCGTCCAGCACCTGCCTGGTGGCCGCAACGGACCTGCCAGCATGCGCGGCGCCATCGATGCGGCCTAGGGCCGTGGGATCCGTAAAATCCGTAGCCACCAAGAGATTGGGGGAAGTTCAAGGGAAAATTCGAGCGAAATGAGGATTTTGTTGAAGTCAAGTCGGAAAAAACAACAAAGAATGGTGATTCAGATTGAGATTTGGGGTGACTCGCTTTGTAGATTTTGGATGGTTGTTGTGGAGTTGAGCAACGATAGATTTACAAAGATGGGAAGATATTTCCAGAAAACAAATGGAGAGAGACCTACCGTATTCTTGTTGAATGTCTGAACATTTCCGTGAAAACTCAAGTTTGATTGGAGATTGAGAAAAATTAGATGGATTTCCTGCAGGGAATTGCAGGGATCAAAATCAACAATAAATGGATGATGAGAATGATGAGATATTTCTTCAAGCTGTTTCGGTTTGATTTTGGCACCATGTTGTGATTCAATTGGCCCGGACTCTTGAGTCGTCCACGAAATTCAACAGCGATGGGAGTTTCGCACTCTGGATACTCTCCAAAAAAACAAAAAAGAGAGGAAGAGAAAGAATGAAACTAACCGTAGAATTGCGTAGAACCACAGGTTGCTTCTTGCGACTCTTTGCTTCGATTTTCCGCAGACCGTACTCCTGGGCTGCGCGAAGAGTGTGAGAATCTGTGAGATCCATGGATCACGAAACTGCAACCTGCTAATCCTCAGATGTTGATATTTGACTGAGTTTTGCTGCAACCTGAAAAACAACATATGGTGAATGATTGGTGATTTCACATGTACCCTCTGGTTATTTAACATAAAATGGGCCATCCGAACCATTGCTAAAATGGTTACTAACCAAAGAGGTAAGAGAGAGTGTGTGGTGGGAGGAGACGAATAGACAAGATTAATAATATAGGTGATTTCGACGGGTGGTAGAATATGTGACTATTTCTCACCGCCTTTTCTGCACAGTAAAATGTCCACCCGCTATGCCAGACGAACGCTCAGCCCAGCGACCCGCCTGCGCAAACCAGCGACGGACTCAGCGGGGGGCATATCCGCGTCGCCAACGGTGTCGGTGAGAGATTCGTCGCGGGCCCTGGTAAGGGTGGCGCAAAAGTGGCGAGGCGAAAAAACATGGCGAACAACGGTAATACGAAAGTTCACACTGGAAAATGTATGAACATGTGAAGGTGGCATTAAGATGTGCATCAACATCATCATCATCAACAATATCATCATCATCATCAACATCATCATCATCAACATCATCATCAACATCATCATCATCAACATCATCATCATCATCAACATCATCATCATCAACATTATCATCATCATCAACATCATCATCATCAACATCATCATCATCAACATCATCATCATCATCAACATCATCATCATCATCAACATCATCATCATCAACAATATCAACATCACCATCATCATCATCATCAACATCATCATCATCAACATCATCATCATCATCAACATCATCATCATCAACATCATCATCATCAACATCATCAACATCATCATCATCATCATCATCATCATCAACATCATCATCATCAACATCATCAACATCATCATCATCAACATCATCATCATCAACATCATCATCATCATCAACATCATCACCATCAACATCATCATCATCAACATCATCATCAACAACATCATCATCATCAACATCATCATCATCAACAATATCATCATCATCATCAACATCATCATCATCAACATCATCATCAACATCATCATCATCAACATCATCATCATCATCAACATCATCATCATCAACATTATCATCATCATCAACATCATCATCATCAACATCATCATCATCAACATCATCATCATCATCAACATCATCATCATCATCAACATCATCATCATCAACAATATCAACATCACCATCATCATCATCATCAACATCATCATCATCAACATCATCATCATCATCAACATCATCATCATCAACATCATCATCATCAACATCATCAACATCATCATCATCAACAATATCATCATCAACATCATCATCATCAACATCATCATCATCAACATCATCATCATCATCAACATCATCATCATCAACATCATCATCATCAACATCATCATCATCAACAATATCATCATCAACAATATCATCATCATCATCATCAACATCATCATCATCAACATCATCATCATCAACATCATCATCATCATCATCAACAATATCATCATCATCATCATCAACATCATCATCATCAACATCATCATCATCAACATCATCATCAACATTATCATCAACATCAACATCATCATCATCAACAATATCATCATCATCAACATCAACATCATCATCATCAACATCATCATCATCAACATCATCATCAACAACATCATCATCATACATTATCCTTTTACTCCCCCAACACTGGGGTCTCTTGCCGGGAGATTTTTTTGCTATCCCGTGGCAGGAGGCGTTGGTGCGGCCGATGGTCTTTCACATCGCCTGTGTGGGCAACCTTTGGGGCCGACATGGAACGATGAAGGGAGCAGTGGCTTCGATTACCCTCTGGTAAACTAACATAGCTATGGAAAAATCACCATTTTCAATGGGAAAATCCACTATAAATGGTCATTTTCAATAGCTATGTTAGTTTACCAGAGGGTAAAACCCCTGTTGGTTGATGATTAGTTTGGGGATGGGGATAGTCAAAATCCATGAGGGAAATCCTTAACAACCAGTGTGTTTAGGGACGGCATTGCGGGTTTTGAATACTGCTCAAGTGGATTAGTCCGGGGTGTATCTGAAAACGGGAGAGACCCCCCCAGTTATGGCTAGTGTGAGACAAACCATCCAAAATTGGGATGTTTCAAAAGATTGAAAAGTGCACTAAATTCCGGTTGAAGAATGTGACATCAGACAATCCATAATCATGAACGAATTCTTCATGTGAGGAATATGCTTGACAAGTCCCTGTAGATGTTCCCAAAATCGGTGCCGGGTGATCCCGATATATGACATGCCGAATACGTAGTGTACTGATCCTACGTGTCCATATTCCGTCATCTTGTGTACCATCTGGTTATGACTAACATAGCCATGGTATAGATGGCCCATAGAAATAGATGGTTTACCTAATAAATATGGTGATTTTCCATGGCTATGTTAAATAACCAGAGGGTAATATTCCCATGTTTCAAAGAATGGAAACAAACCTCAACCCCCGAGAAAGGCTGACATTCCATGGCATATCTCCCTCTATGGCAAAACGCCGACCCAAAATGTATTTTTCGAAGTGATTTTTCGGGATCTGCATTTTTTGCTGATCTCAAACTCAGTACGTCTGCATATATAGCGAGGGTTTTTAGTTTTGCCCAAAATCAACCCATTACCCTCTGGTAAACTAACATAACTATTGAAAATGGCCATAGAAATAGTGGATTTTCCCATGAAAAATGGTGGATCTTTCCATAGTTATGTCAGTGGATCTTTACCACATTACCTATTAGTTAGGTCCTGGTAATGTTAGTCTATCTAAACCCTAAACCATTCCATTGACCAACAATTTGGGGGTCATGATAAACATCATCCCAGGCCCTTTTTGGGGGAAAATCTCAATTTCATAAACCTCAAAACAAAAGGGTGCACGAATACTATGGGGTTACCATAGGAAAATCCTGTTTTCATGATGTGAAAAATTATTCACCGCAATTATATAGCCATTATGAGTAGGCTAGATTATCACATGACATGTAGGTTACCATTCGAAAGCCCATCGGAATCCCCGGCTGCCATTGTTTTTTTCAGCTCCGAGGCCCTAGCACATGCCCACGAGTTGGGTGTGGTGCATCGAGATTTAAAGCCCGCAGCTGGACTTTTAAACGACCACGGGGACTGGTTGGTTTCATCCCAAAAATTGGAGGTACAAGGTGGTGCCCCAGTTCGTTAGCTAAGTTGGTGCAAATAAGTCCAATAACTATGGTTTATAGGTGATATATCTATAGTTAATGGGATTATAACCCATTTATAACTTGGGGAGGCACCACCTTGTATGGGTCAATTGTTTTTCAGCCCTATGGGATCATAGATTTCTGATTTCAGTATGTGTTTTGGGTGTTTTGAGTGTTTTCCAATTCTTCGGGTACCCTTTATTTTGACCCCATATTGGAACACATCACCGAAAAGGACATGAATCATGGCGAAATTCTCCAAGCTCTGAGAAATGATTCGATCCATGACCTTGGGATATGACACTCTGCAATTTCGCCGGAGACCCCGATCGATTTTGCAACTGGATGTTGTGTCGAGGCTTTGGGAATGTAAATTAGCTTGGCATTTGTGACATCATTTCATTCGAAATGTCATGCAGTTTTCGGTGTTTTTGTTCAGGTAGGATGTCTATCTGGTTGGTGGTTTGGAACATTTTTTAATGTCCATTTCATATATGGGATGTCATCCTTCCCATTGACGAACTCATTTTTTTTCAAGATGGTTATCGCACCACCAACCAGATTAAATAATCCAATATTAACTATGATTAACCACCAAATCCATCCCATGATCTCCATAAAAATGCCATGCAAACCCATCTTATCGACCATATTAACCATAGTGTTGCCAACCAGAATATCCATCATAACTATGGAAAATCACCATTTTTTAATAGGTAAAGCGCGGTAAACCATCTATTTCTATGGGAGAACCCACCAACCAGAGCCCAGCAACCGAGGAGAACATCCTCCTACGACAGGGCGATCGCTTTCCCAAGGTCGAGCGTTTAAAAACCTGGGGCCAGGGCTATCATTGGGCGCTGTAGTATTTAATTAACTTAATTTGATGATAGTTTATAGTACAGTACTTAATGATATTGAATGATATTGAATGATATTGAATGATATTGAATGATATTGAATGATATTGAATGATTGTTTGGCTTAGTACTGGCTCCAATAATTGTGTGGCCAATCTTCGACGAGTTTAGCCTTGATCTGCCACTTGATGATCTGATGGCGCAGGGATTGGTCTGGAGATGAAACTAACTGGGTGTAACCAACACATAACAGCTACAATGTGAGGCATAGCTAAGTTGGTGCAAATAACTCCAATAACTATGGTTTATGGTACTTATAACTATAGTTACTGGGGCGAATCTAAACCAACTTATAACTGGGGGGGCTCACATTGTAGTGACAGCTAGTCCCTTGGATGATTCAAAGATATTCCAAGTGCACTATCCACTTATCTCAAGATCGCCTTGTGGTTGATGTGTTAGTTGATCTCAATAAGACGTGCCGTTGATGTGTTAGTTCTTGCAATGGCCTAACAAAGGAATATACTCATTGGCGTGAGAGAAAACATGATTTCCTGGCGTGGTATCGATAGGGAAATATAAATATCAACTATATTATTGCAGTCACAAATCCTAAACCATGAATAACATCAATTTTACCAGCAACTTAGGAGTCAACCAATATGGGTATGGATCAATACCTATAGATACATTTTTAATGGGATGAACATCCATAAATCCCAGCTATTTTGGGGTTTTGACTCATTTACCAGGGTTTTGACTCATAGCCATATATCTCACTGATCAATTAGTGGCCCTTTTTTAATTTCCCCAGTTCCAGCAGTTCCAGTTCCAGTAACCAACCTCTAGCCACGTTGATCGTCCCGAGGTAGCTGACTTTGGCTTATCTCGATCTTTGAGGCGGGCTCCAGTTCCATACCCAACCTTCTTCAAGATGTGGGTATGGATCAATACCTATACATACCATTTTTAGGGGGATGAACATCCATTTACCAGCTATTTTGATGTTCAGGGGTACAAGGTTTTGACACACTGCCATGTGATGAATGGGATGAATTCGATCGCGTTTTTGATGTTTTATGATAATGGGATATATGGATATATGGATATGTGTAGATTAATGTGTGTATATATATGTGGGATAATATATTCTCCAAAACTACCATGGAGGGCAAGTTATCATCCTCTTACGCCATGTTTTTTGGTCAATCTTTATGTTTCTCATAAGAAAATCCACGGTTTTTTCTTGCAACATTCTAATCTGGCCGGTGGTTTCAAATGCTCCATTTTACATCCTACTTTGAAAGAAGATCTCCAGTTCACTCATATGTTTGCGATGAGTATAGTATCTCAACCAACTGAATCAAATTTGCTCAAAGGCCAAGGATCGCAGTCACTGACTTTCGTTGAAACTGAAAACAAGGTACACTGTGGCTAACTGACCCATTTTGTTTGCTTATAACATGGTGTCTTAAAATGTTTTCTTAAGAAAAACAAACACAATTTCTGTGCAGAAATCTGGGTGAAATCCCTTCTTTGGTGCCTTAGATTCTCTGTTTTTCAGGGCATCGGAAGTGGCCATGACAGTGGCGGGTACACCGACCTACATGGCCCCCGAGATTCAGGACCGAGCCGAAAAAGGGACCCAGTGTTTTTTTTGTTTTTGGCTTCATAAAGCCATAGAAAGTCACAGAAAATCGAGGTTTTGCCTATGGTTTATGGTAGATATATCGAACTAGCTGGTGTAGATTCACCCCATGAATTCCTCGTTTTTTGGTGTCATAAATCGACTAGCTGGAGTTATGTTCACCAACTTTGCGGTTTCGTTTGCCAATAAACCATCCAAAAAAATATCCTCAATATCACCAGAAATGGTACTCCCTTGTAACCATGAAAAATTTGGATAATTAGGGGTTATTCTTGAGTTTCCCACATGGCAGTTCGCATGATTGCAGCCACTGGGATTTCAGATATCCACCTTGTTGTCTACCAGTAGCGGCTGAAGCCCAGAGTTCGCCAACACACAGGACGACAGAAATGTGAACAAATTCCAGTCCTTTTTGCAGCTTGAAACCTCTTGATTTTTCTGCTGAAATCGGACGCTGGTGGTTTGGATCCACAACCTGAGAAGACATGCAGCGTCTTTCAGGCGATCTACATATGGCACAGGTAGTGAAAAGTTCAACGGTAAATATCCGGGTAAATTTCATCACGACCTCACGTCGCGACCGAACCCTGGAAATCATGGTTAGTAAGGGAAATCATCCCCTTTTATGGCCGCAAGATTCAGGTTAGTGAAATATTATAATTTACCCAGAAATGCGATACCTCACAGAATCTTCACGAGTATTTCATTTTCTTGGCCTGAAGCGAGAGGATCCCAGGCTCCCGTATGACTTCCCAGCGGACGTGTACTCTCTGGGCTGCATTCTTACTGTCGCAGACTCAAGGGACAGTCCAGCGATCAGCCCAGAAGTGTGGATGTTCAACCATGCGAATGTGGTATGTTTGGTATTGACCCATCCCCTTTTCTTTCAACTTAAAAACAGTTGTGTGGTTCCAAAATAGCCAATCATGTAAAAACACTTGGAAGTTCGTTGCCCCCAATAGCTGGATGCTGAATCTTTCATGGAAAATCCCAATCTAAAAGCTGGATGATGACTGGGGGTTCCCCCATGACTTATCAAAGCTTCAGAAAAGCTCAGGACATGATGGACAAAGCCTTTTGCTGCAGCTGGTATGCCAAAGTCAGCTTGTCTCAACTTATGCGCTGCGAGAAGTCCGAAGTCCTTTCGTGAAACTTTAGTGCCCAAAAAAGATGGGAAGATCACTGAAAATAGGAGATACACTCCATAGATGTCCTTTTCCCATTGGTTGGTTGGTTGGTTGGTTAATAGAGGGCTTTGTTTGTCCCTTTAACAACAGGTAAATGATGGCAAGCTGGGAAATCCCTGAACCAGCCATGGAAGTTTCAATGCAAAAGTTATCGATGTGGGAAGTCCAATTGCTATGGATACACAGCTGTGATGCGAAAGGCGCGCTTGGTACTAAACATGATAGTGGTTTCAAGTTCTGATGATCTGATGCGTGACCAGATACACAAGATGGTTGCCGTAGGATACACATCGACTCCTGAAGGGCTTGCAATGTATGCTGGATTAAGGCCAGATCCAAGATGGGACCCCCAGTTTTACATTGATCATTGATCTATAAACCCACCCAACTATATCCACCCAGCATCCTAGTAGAGCTATCTATAAACCCACTGAATTACCTGACGGGACTTTCTGCAGCTTCTGCAATTCTAGAGAATGTTCGAAATCATGAACTCGTACCCCTGAAAACGCCCATGCCACACCCCCCCAACTGGGTTGGATGCTAAATGTCCTGAGGGGTGAGTCCCCACCGGTTTTCATCATTTTCCTGTTTAATTGGCAATGTGAATGGGGTCTCCCCCATTGGGAGACAAATCTGTATCATATTGTCATGCTGTTGGATATACACTTGTATGTTCAATTGTATCCCCATAAACTGTTTGGTTTGTATCTCCGTGGATATTTCCAAAGTCATGGGCGGTCCATTGGATACCTAAATAGATAAATAAATTAAGAAATAAATAAATAAATAGATAAGGACTACATCCACCACATGGTTTTATAACCCCATCTATCCATCGGTTCATCTTGAGTCACGAGGCGATGCAGGGAAACCACGAAAAGATGCGGAAACGCTGGCCGGAAGCTTTTCAAACTTGAAACTGGAGATGGTTGTTTTTTTAGTGAAACCATGGCTATAGTACTATAGTTGGGTTAGTTAAATCACAGCTAAAACTGTTATACTTTCTTGAATTATAATAGTTGGTGAAATCTACCAAAATAACTCAGGGTTGCTCCAACCCATGATGGGGATTCATGATTGCCACAAAGAGAAAAAGAAAGGTGTGATCCTGCTATCAATATAGCTTCGTCCAAAAAAAGGATCTGCAAATGGGTCATATGTGGCAGGATATGCGCCATTTTGTTGGGAAAATGATCATGTAAACCACGGGTCTTGAGAAAACCCTAGATAGCGCTTGAGATTGCCAGTGGTATCCCCATGTTCTTGGGGGATACCCTCCAGTAATTCAAGGTGCCTGGAAAATCCACCACTTCGATTGTGTGAAAACATTCAAAGCTCCATTGAGTTCAGGGATTTCCCAGCCATGTTGAATGACACAGATGGTTGGTACCCATCATGTTGGTTAAAAGGATCATATATTTACAGATCAAAGAAATCCTGGGGTGACGCCACAGATATGTTCCATGCCACCAAGCTCAGTTTCCAGCCCAGGAAGGCTGTGTACCACATCACTTTAGCCGTGAATTAAAAGAAATGCAAGGACCGAGGGGGGAAGGGAAAGTGTTTCTACACAATGTGTGTATCATGTGGAAATATCTATGCATATTACTATATTACCCATATGTATATAGATATACAGACATATTACCCATATATTACCCATATATTACCCATACTAATAATATACTGTAAATTTTTTCGTGTGGTTGCAGAATCAGTGAGCGGCTCAATGATTCGGAAGAGTGGCCTCGGCAGATCAGATCAATTCACTCCCCATGTGAGGTGATTTCCAGCAACCAGAGGTGATTCCAGCAACATGTTCAACCCTTAAATTCTACGTGTTTTTATAAATGTGCCCACGTTAAATTTAAAAAAAAACAGTTGGAACCTGAATAGAATGTGGAAACCTCATCTTCAGCATGCTTCAGCCTCTTTTTTTCACATGTGGGCTTGTCTGAAAAGATGCTACTGCTCCATGAAAAATCAGAACCAGATTTTCTCCGTAGGCCATCAGTTGGATTAACGTAGGCTATCCTCCATTTTTGTTTGGAACCCTTCTGGTGGTGAAACCACCAGGTAAGATGATCGGTCAAGCTCCTGGACTTCGTCCAAGCTGCTACCAGATCTGCAGGGTCTCCCAGGCCTTTTCCAGGAATCGAACATGGCTGGAACACCATGATGTTCCTATTCATACCTCCGAATACCTCCATGTTCATCGAGGATTTCCAATGTGTTTGATGAAACCTGATGAAACCCGTAACATGACGTGTTTTTTGGAGGCTATCGCAGCAGCTTAGACTGGGGAAATGTATGAGATTGTGTGGAAATGATGTGTTTAACCCCCAATTCGCTGCCATCTATGAAGGGAAAGTAATGTCCTAATCCAATATACTCCAATGTTTCATGTGACGATGAAACATCTCTCAAGATTGGGATGAAAATTGCATGAGTTACCAATGTTCAAACCATTTTCGCCGAGGCAAGGACCTCTTGTCTTTGGCTGATGAGAAGGTGTTGCCCAATGCCTTGTGGCAGGCCTGGGAACAGATCCAATACTGAACCAGGGTGTCGTTTAGGGGGTATCTGATAGGGGAACGGGATGATTCCAACTTTAATTTTTTGGGATATCTATGGACAATCTATGGATATTTATTTTTGGATTTACCACATTCACTTGGTTATCATCAAATTTTGCTCTTCCCAGCCCCAGCTTAGCAAAGCTTCGCCCTGCCAGGAGCGGCCGAAGCTGCCAACGGGGCCACCGCTACAGAAGATGCTGAGTCCGGAACTGGCGGCAGACATCGCAGGCACAGGGCATTGGTTGCCTTGGAACAAAGGAAAAGATGCCTGCGAATGGAAACGGAGAATTGATTTCTATGGACTTCTTGGATCTTCTTGGTAGTTTTGACATAAATTATCGGTGATTCGTTGAGGTGGTTTATTCAAAAGATGTGGATTGAGAAACCACTTCTGATCCACAGATATCCAAAGATTGCGCCACCATAGATTAGTAGAAAATGCATCGTTTGCGTGGAAATGGGCGTGGGTTGCATGGTCCATCTTTTGTTTTTTCACTTGAAGTACTGATAGTACTGCGCCTTGATTGGAAAACCCAGAGTGAAATCCAACGAAAAACATCTAAAAACATGGGTTGCCAAGAAAACACCAAGAATGACAGGTCATTTTTTTTTGCCATCCCTCACCGCATGTTGACTGCTTTTTTTAGTTTTTTTTTTTTTATGTCTCAGGGCGAGGCGGCTATGGGGTTGGCGTGAATGTCATGGTGCTGGTGAATGGCCAGTGGCTCCCTGGAAAGGCGCAGCGAGATGCACAACAAATGGCGGCCATGTTTGGGATGTTGGAAAGTTCCATGGCAATACTGTCAACCCTGGATTTTTATAAACCCCGTTTACGGCTGTTGAATTGGGAGGGTACCATAAAAAAGTATTAGATGAAATGACTATTGGAGGAGTACCCAGTATGTCCCATACAGTATTTATAGACTTGGGTCCGTTCGTGGATCCATGAGTTACATGGTTAAGCATTAATCATGAATGATTAATCATTAATCACTGACAATCAATTCATTGATAATATCAATATATAAAGATAATCAATCTATCTAATCATTAGTCATTGATCATCAAATCAAATCAAATCAAATCAAATCATATCATTATTATAGTTTGATAAATTAATCATTAGTCAGTTAGTTATCACTATGTGTATTGGTAGTCATTGTTTTGTCTATTATTAATCTATAATCATAAGCATTATACTCGAAGGAAGTTTAGAAGTCAAACTTCCGACAATATGGACAGATGAAAAGCAGAGATGGGCAGAGGCAGAGAGAAGAGAAGAGTAGAAGAGAGCAGATCAGAGAAGAGAAAGAGTCAGAAGAAAGAAGATGCAGATGTGCGAAAAGGTAGGAAAGTCACGAAACACTGTGTTTTTCTAATGATTTGTGGCTCCGGAGGGTCGAAAAGTAGGCTCGCTAAAGCGGCGGGTGCGGATCCATCTGGCCAGATGAGAGATGAAAAATTGCACGCCGTTGTGGCGCGAAGCACATTTCCAAGTCAAAATGCACAAAACACACCAGGTCCGGACCACTTTTGGCAGTTGAGATGTCAAAAAGTGCACGCCGTTGTGCCGCGAAGCACATTTCCAAGTCAAAATGTGCAAAACACACCATTGTCGGACCACTCTTGGAAGTTGAGATGTCGAAAAAGTGCACGCCGTTGTGGTGCGAAGCACATTTCGAAGTCAAAATGTGCAAAACACCAGGGGTTCGGACCACTTTTGGAAGTTCAGATGTCGTTTCGCCTGGCAGGCGCAAGGGATTGTGCACCTTGTAAAAAGTATGCAGTGTGAGGGTTTTGTAGCATTTTCAACTACAACCACCACTACACCACACTACACTCCAATACACTACACGACACTACATTACACTACACTACACTACATTCCACTACACCTCCACTACACTACACTTCAGTACACTAGACTACACTACATTCCACTACACTACACTACAGTACACTACGCTACATTCCACTACACTACACTACACTACACTACACTAACCACAACTACTACAACAACTACAACTACAATACTACATTTGCACTACACTACACTAATTACATTACACTACACTAGACTCCACTACACTACACTACACTACACTGAATGACACTGCACCACAGATAGACAGGTAGACAGATAGACAGACAGACAGATAGATAGATAGATAGACAGATAGATAGACAGATAGACCGATAGATAGATAGACAGATAGACAGGGAGACATATAGACAGATAGATAGATAGATAGACAGACAGATAGATAGATAGATAGACAGATAGACAGATAGACAGATAGACAGATGAAAGAGAGAGAGAGAGAGAGGAGACATCAAGCACCTTTCGGTCCATCAGTGGATTCGCTCTGCCATCCGTGATTCACAACAACCAACCTCTCCGGTTTCCTATTTCTGAAACTTCCGCCACCGCCTTTTGCGGTACTACTGGTAGTTTGATCGATTAACCATTGAGGGTCAATCAAACTATAGTCAAAACTGATAGTCAATAACTGATAGTCGATCAATCGATCGTTTTCAAATCTCTCTTCGTCGGTGCCAGGTGATGCATGTCTCCGCCAGCCTCTGCCCTGGCGCTGTGCAGGTGCACTTCAGCCGCAATGGCACCTTGGTCGCGAGTTGAAACGTGGCTTTAAAAGTTGAAATTTAATGGAACAACATGATTTTTTATGGTGATTGAATGTATATTTCATGGAAATTCCATGGGATTTAGTGGGAGTTTGGCAATTTGGTGGAAAGAACAAACATAATTGGGGATTTATAGTGGATATCTCGGGTGTAGAAACCAATAAACATAACTGGAGGTCACCACTTAGCAGGTTTTGTTGGTGAAATCGCAGTTTTGTGAACCACTGGAGTTGTTGGGACGACATGTTCAGATCTATTTTTGTAGTGGTAATAGCATACAAGGTGCAAGACTGGTTGAGCCATTGAGCCTGAGCAAAATTATGATGGGAAAAAAAACAAGAAACTCTCAGGAGTTCAGCAAGAGGGCATTGACTGTAAAGATCGAGAGACACTACTTCACAAAATAAAAAAATTGAGATACAGGCATCCCGAAAAAGATAGCAAAGTCATAGAACTATTTATTTTAGTGGGATTTGACGTTTTTTTGGTTGGCGTGGTTTTTTATCGTGTAGTCAAAGCATATTTTGAGCGCCCAAGAGCTGGATGTCTTGAGACCAGCTGTTAGGGCGACAAGTCACGCATGACATTGTAGCCTCTGGTAATCAAATGTCGCTACGTTGATTGCTGAAGCATCCAACATTGATCTTGGCGTTTTTGGAGATGCTCATTTACTTCGGGGATTTCCCAGAAAGCTATTTTTTTTGGTTACCGGAGGGTAACTGGATGATTTACCTAAGTTGCAAAGCCCCTTTTTTTGTGTTCACAAAACTAGCTTTGTGGCACTGACATCTTAAGATCCTCAAGCCCCGCACGAAGGTGAGGAACAAGCAACTCTCGTCTGCCCATGGCAGTTTCAGGAGCTGCTCCGCCCCGCGGCCGTGGTGCCGCAGGGCGGAAAGATCGGTGCCTCGGTGGAACATGGGAGGGAACATGGGATCCACTTGGAGCGGGGGGAATTTTCCCAGCCATAAAATGATCGAAAAAATTACCCTCTGGTAAACTAACATAGCTATGGAAAATCACCATTTTCAATGGGAAAATCCACTATAAATCACCATTTTCAAATAGCTATGTTTAATTACCAGAGGGTATGGAAAAGTATTTTTCACAAAAAAGACCGTGAAATTCACACTGTATTTTCCTCTCTGTCGACCCACATACTGAGTCGAAATTCCAGCGCCAGGCACTATGGTCTTCCCTGACCCTGGTCAGGACGGCGGGCGCTGTGGTCGTGTTTGCGATCGCGAATAGATATGGGGAGTTCAGCAATGCGTTCGATTTCCTCGCTGTGAATCAAAGTTTTTTTTGAGATGTTCAAGAAATGTTGTGAAAGGTTGTAAGCCATTAAAGTTGGTAACGGGATGTGTCGATATGCATCCGAAAATCAAAGATCTGGATAGTTGACAGCGAGCCTTTTTTGACCAATCCGTTGACCCGAAAAAGATGCTTATGACATTCGAAAACCAATGGATTTCAGGTAAATAATTCAGATGGTGATGATGCAGGGGTGATACTACCATTGACTGCAGGGCTATATAGATATATATTAGATATATGTGTATAAGCCAAGTAGCGTTTCAATCGCCACCATTCATGCGGTTGAGGCAATTCTCCCAAAAGCTTCTGGCTATCTGACTCCTGGATGTCATGCTGTAGTAGGGAGAGCCCTTTTTTCACTGCTGAGAAGAAGAATTCAGAATGGCAGTTTATGGCAGTTTATGACACTAAGTTGCATATGTTTGATGAAATTTGATGAAATCATATGAAATGATGGTCGGTTGAAAAGGACGAAAACGTGAAACAAAGTGTCAAAGGTAAAGGACTTGATTGACTCAAAGATTCCGGTTTGGGTATGGGCCAATACCATAGCTAGCCTCAAAACTGTAAAATCATTCCTATTCCAAAATGGCCCATTCTCTTCAACACCAGGAAACCAGGGGCAAGAAGGCACGCCGGAGTGCTGCAGTGAGCTTCTCCTGTAAACAACGTAAACAATCGGGAGATCGAACATCAAATGTGTATATATATATGTGTGTATATATATATGTGTATATATATATTGCGTGGCTGACTTCATATAAGATTTCGGAACATGTGCAAGCCAAAAGCTGGGGTTCTCTCAGTGGGGTCAACCGCGCTGCGGTGCGAACCCTCTCTCTTCAACAGGCAGAGGTTTTGGCAGGTCGTGCTAAGGTCAAGGATTGTCACAATGTGTCGCACAACGGAATCAGAAGAATCCACCGACACACCTTAAACAAAATTCCATTCAAATGCAGCACAGTCGAGCAGCTGTTGTCCATTTTTTTTCGATCAAAATTGGCATGGTCAACCCAATTGCCAGGGCGCCGCATCCGGAAGTCCAAACAGGCACGGGATAGAAGATGATAGAAGCAGATTCTCTTGCAAGATGCTAAAATGGAGGTACCCGAAAATTGTTGGTTTATAATGGACAATCCTATTAAATTGGATTATTTGGGGGTACCCCCATTTTAGGAAACATCTACTTGTCTACTCTCGCCAAATTCTGAAACACTGTGAAACACATGATCTGGCCATCCCTTATCACAATCCATTCGCTTCGGGCCACTTGGATGTGCAAACAACCGTGGTTTGTTGCGAAAAAAGTTGACCTTTCAGGGATCATCAGTAGAGTGGAAAATTCCCAGGGTGTCCAAATCATTTTCTGGAAATACCTGCGGCTTATGTCAATCATAAAAAGTGGAAAATCCTCCATTCAGTTGGATGATCTTTCCAGCGAACGAAAGCTCCATGGCCAGGTCACCACAAAGCCTTGGCCTCAAAGAGGTCCCGCGGGATCGTCTTGTGGAAAAAACATAAAGGGACGAATAGGGACTGTTCACCAACCACATATCTTTGCAACATATGACATGGATGTGTATATATATATATGTATATCTATATGTATATATATATATAGCTTGCTACATCTATCACACAGTTGGGAAGTTCTATTATGGATGAATTAGATCATGACCTCACGGCGTGACGTCACTGGAAGAATGGTTACTAAGGGGAATCATCCCCATAGTATGGCCTTCTTCCATGTTTCATATTCATACAATGTGAGGCCCCCAAGATAGCTAAGTTGGTTTATAACTCCAATAACTATGGTTTATGGTACTTATAACTATAGTTACTGGGGCTTATAAACCAACTTATAACTGGGGGGGCTCACATTGTAGCTGAGGTTAGTTCCAACCACTTTCTAAGTAGGATGATCCTGCAGCGAGATATCTCCATTTGATATTCGAATATTGCGGGCAGGAGGTCTATGTCAGAATTTCCAATCTGGCTAGCTTCAGATATTCCATGATATTCCTCTTCAACCACCACTCAGCATCACCAGGCTCCAGTGGCGAAGATGAAATGTCAACCGACCAATTGTCGTCAACAGTGACGACCAGTTTTTGGTCGTTTATGGCGCAAAAGACTTCATGGGCTATCCCCAAATGGCCAACGTCATCAGAAACGATGATGGTGGCACCCTATTTTCAGACAAGCCCAGTTTCTCAGATGTGGTGGCGTGGATGGAGGCTGCAAACGTAAGCATTTCAATGGTTCACAAGATGATTCTTGGGTTTTTTCGCCATGGGGACAACCAAAAAACAACCCTGCATGCTTGTTGCCGTCAATCTTCTTGGGATCCTTTCTTTAGGCACGGGCCAACAATAATATTAATATGCTGGACAAAAAAAACATCTTCCTGAATGTCTGGTGGGCCAACAAAAGGAATAGTGACCCCAATGATGGAAAATCTTCGGGGCAACCACTATCCATGTGCGGTTGATCAGCAGCATCCAAACAAAAGAGCTGCAAATGGTTGCTCCACACGAAACGGAATGCCAGTTTTCTCACTGAGCTGTTGGAATGGGTGGTGGTATCTTTCCAATGCCACAGCATTCCATTGTCACCGCAAGTGCTGCTGGGTGAATGGTGCATCAAAGATGCACCCCAAAAGTAGTGCAAATGCCAGGCAATGCCCACTATGGGAATGAGTCAACTATTTGACCTTTTCAAGTCTGGTTTTCCTGTGTTCCCTCTAGTTGAACTGAGTAAGAACCATTGACAAGCATGTTGAAAGGGTGAGTTGCTGCTCATCAAGCAGAACACATTCCTTTCAACGGTGTGGCATCGGGTTGGTGATGATCAGTGGGCGGGCAAAACGGAAAAGCTGCCAGGAAGGAGAGACGTATGTGGAGGTATGTGGGATGGAGGAGTGCTGGCCCAAAAACACCTTGTTAAATGTTAAATCAGCAATTATGGGTGTTTTCAAAAATTGTGATACCCAAAAACCCTTAGTTTCCACATTAAGTTACTGGCTAGTGTTGGATGATGTTTGCCCCATCTCAAGTGACCCCCAAATGTGACCGACTAAGCCCCATAAATAGTGCAGAAGCCATTTGATGCCCCCCAATCAGAATGGATTTGTTGCAGATTATCCGAAAAAATCCGGACTGATTCTGTGACGTGGTCAGACAGGGAGACGATTTTTAACCTTGGAATAGGTAGGCCATGGTAGGCCCTGTTCAAACTCCCAGCATTATGGTACCTCAACATGGCAAAGTAGTGAAGTTCAAATGCCTGAAGCCGACTGTGTTTGTTTTCCAAGAGATGCGTTCAAGTTTGACCACTGAAATCGAAGTTTTGGCGCAAGTCCAGTGACTCTGAAATTTGTGAAAGGTCAGAAGCTTGAACTTGAGGTGTGCCAAAATGTAGGCTGTTGAATTTAGTAAGGCCTGCTTGATTTCGCCCCTTCGTCCTTTCCGCTGATCTAGAAGCAGGAACTCATTGTCCTGGCTTCCAGGTTTGTTTACCTGAGGGAACCCTGCTAGAAAGGATTGAATGCTACAAAATGCTAAAGAAAAACCGATTGGTGTTTTAGCAAAATTCCTTTCATCGCTCACAAAAGGCCCAAATTCCTAGCATTGACGGTTGAAGGTCCAAAGTGTTACCCTTCAGGTACTGCGGCAACTATTCCTGCATGGAAGGTGTCATTTCTGCTGAGATGAGACGGGGGCTCAGCATCCGAGGTGATAGTCTCCGGTTGCTGAAAGGTGACGAAATGGTGGGCTTCAAATGTGTTCCGCTTCCATGGGGTGAGCAACCCCTGCAAACTTTTCTGGGCCGTCAAATCAACCATTTTCCCGAAACAGAGAAGCAATAAAGATCAATAAAGTGTCCATTTGAATCTATGCTTGGGTGACCAAGGCACCCAAGTGCCTTTGTTTAGCAATTCTTGTTGGCAGCAATGATTCTGCACCCTTGCAGGTGGGAGATCGTCCCAGCCCAGTGAAAATTGCCAAAGCAGGACATTTACCAACCAAGATGTTCCATTCATTTTCCACTAGCAAATTCAATTCCAAGAGGCTTTATATCATTTCCATGTGTTCATCCCAAGTTGTCCCCATCTTTTTTGCTACACATCCATTCGGTCACGATTCTTCTCCGATCTCAGGCTTGAAGATGCTCAGCGGCATGTGCCGAAGCGTCGGGGAGCCAAAGAAACTTCAGGAGTAGAGGTACCATGTGGAGTTCTCAACTGTCAAAATGGGATCCGGAAAAAAAACGTTTAGGTATGGTGACCCCCAAAAAATGAGGTAAATGAAGAGTTGATGGTATTCTTCCCCAGAATTAAATCGAGAAGTTGGGATTCAATTTGCACGGTGAGAGTCTCCAAAAAGGTGGTTATTTGGGTAGGTGGCGGCTTGAGTCTTGTTGGGATAGCAACGAACTGACACTGAAAATGGGAAGTATCCTCAACAAGCAGCGGAAGTTTGGGAGCGGATCCAAAAGTTGAACGCCTGCCCCAATGGGGATAGATAAACAGCTTGACAAGGTCCATTCTCTTCAGTTTTGGGATGCAAGAAGCCTCCAAACAGACCTGAGGAATCATGAGAATATGGGAATAGCTACACATAGAAAGGAGGTCAGACTTCTTGGTTGATTCGAATCTAAACAACCATGCACATGAACGGAAACGGACGAAACCTGCCAAGGATGTCATGAAAAATCTGACATCGATGCACGATGCAATTTTCCATTGGTTGCCCCTCCGATGCAACATCCTCTGAGAGTCAAACACTATAACAAACCATATGGACAAGATTCTACCATCTTCCTCTTCAAATTTTGGGGTTGTTGGATGCTGGATGGGCCTCAAAGTTATGTAAAGTGAGCGGATCCATTTTGTACCTCCATAGGATCCGAATCCTCACCCTGAGGCGTTTGAAGAAGTGTACGCCTTGCAGACCGAGAGGACGTGACGGGTAGAGTCATCTCAGCTGGTGGTTTCAAATGTGAGGTGTCTATCTAAACCCTGATTCACGAAGAATTTCGGGGGTTAAACCATGTTAAAACCACCAGCTTCCCAAATCTTGTAGGGAGTTGTCCACTCCTTACATCATACCCTGAATATTGCCATTGAACACACCAGACTCCACTGGTTTGGATGCTGATTTTCCTTGTTTGCGCGGCAAGCTGATGCTCCCAGGAGCACTGCCAGCATCTTTGTTGTGGTCCAGGAGTCGGGAAATGGTCAGGGTTTAAACACAGTTTGAGAAACCAAGGCTGCGATGTAAACAGGGAGATCGGATATCCAAAAGAGACGTCGCACTGTGGGTGGCTACAAGGTGGTGCCCCATAGTTAGCTAAGTTGGTTTATAACTCCCATAACTATGGTTTATGGCAGATATAACTATAGTTAATGGGGTTTATAAACCAACTTATAACTGGGGGGCACCATCCTGTATGATGTTTGGATCTTTTTACATGTAAAAAAATCATCCAGATCCACACCTTTTGTTCGCGGACAGGCATCCCCAGTTCCGGGGCAAGAAGGACAAGTGCTTGCAGAGGCAGATGACCTCCACTGTGACCGTAGAAGGAGCCATGATATATAATAGCCAACAGCAATGGGTATACTTAATATACGGTGAAGAAAAAAGATAGATGTAGTTGATATTAGATGATATTTGATGATATTAGTTGATATTAGATGATAACTATCAGTTGATATTAGTTGATAGTCATCCTATTCTGTTCGAGGACACGCTATGACACTCAGAATTCCTATTCTGTTGCTTGTTGATACCCATTACATCTCTATATGATATACCCATTTTGACGCGCCAAACGTTTCGTCCAAACTCCCGCTGACTCAACTTTCCCGCCTGCCGCGTTGCACCGCCCAGTTGGCACAATCGAGGTAGCCAAACAACATGGGTCTCCAGTGGATTCAAAAAAGGAATTGCACCTGTGGATCTTGACCGCCATCATCCTGAGGAACATCGAAGAATGCAAATGTTCCTGTGCAGCTTCATGATATTTTGATATCTTCGCATGGCAAACTTCAGCATGGATTGGATGATTGGATGTCAGTATATAGTATATGTCACTCCTCATTGATTTTATCAACCCGACCCACAAGGACAGTACACACTGTGGCTGTGTTCCAACTTTCTCTGGCTGTCCAGTTGCAGCGCCATGGCGGCCGCTTCAACGGAACCAAAGGTTGCCGCAAGCGAAGCCCATGGTGACGCTGAAACGGAGGCATATTTCTGGGCTGTCCCGGTACCCCTTGAAATCGAAATCTTGGGAACCAGCCAATTTTGAGGTCATTAAGATGTCATCTACAAGATCGTGGAAAAATGGTTCCATGTATTTAATTCAGCAGGCTCTAGACTCCAACAAATGTTGGTTTTTTTAAACACATTAGTACCCTGGGTGAGGTTCAAGGTACAACGAAGATCAGGTTTGGTTTCATTCACATTTTTGATTCATTCCTGGAATGAAAATCTCCAACTTTTAATGGGAACGGCTCCCAAGCAATTTCTGTTGGGTGGGATGCCACAGGTCAGACGTAGACCTGGAGATGGCCGTGGCAAATTTAAAACCTGAAACCTTTTTTGTTCATATCTCAAATATGAACGGAAAAGATGAAAGCCTCACCCAAGAAAAGAACAGGTTGCCCACCTCTGCAAATTTGTATTCTGTTCTCTAGCGTATCATCAAAATGTGCAAATAGTTTCACTTATAGCCTCACAGTAGTAGGTGAACTCTTTATCCAATTTTGTGAGTTTATTGGCACCCCAATCTGGAGCCATACTGCGCCAACAACCCTCCTGGTGCGGCACAAGTTTCACTTCATTCCCAGGTCCAGAAATGGCTGGAGTGTGCTGAGTGTCTTGGCTGTGCCCCCCGGATGGCTTCAAGTGATGGGAACAAGCGGAGAAGATGCCTATGTTTCGTGCTTCACATCAGCATGATGAAATGATCAAGAAAAATGACCAACGCACGTATTGGGTACGTTTGGGCACCACAGAATTTTTGGGTCTTTGGGGGAGTTTCTCCTGTGGCTATCTGGCTTCTACCATGTCTGGCATGGGTGGCCTGGATCGACTGCAGATCCAAAGTAGAGGTGGAACCATGTGTCACCTGGACTGTAGAGTTACCCTGGGACAAGGTGAAAGATGTGAAAGGAGTGAAAGCAGCGAATCCCACACCAACTAGAGTATTCAAAACTCAGAATCCAGGAGGTTACTTGGCGGTGCAGTTGAGGTTATAAATGAACATTAACATGATGATAGCCCCCTTTAAGTCAGGAGATAAACCCTGTAACTATGGTTATTTATATCTCCGCTATAGTTCACTGGAACTGCACCCCGAAGTACTTCTATCACCTGGCGAGGTGTCGCTTCCCTTTGGTGCGAGCCGAAGAATTGATCGCAGAGAGGTGCCTCTGGTGGCTGGTTGCCTCAAGAATCTGCCTGATCAGTGAATCCACCGTGCACGATGACCATGTCGACCAGTGCCATAAGGGATAGTCATCATCAACGAAACAGATCTTGAAGCTTTCACTTTCAAGACTGGGTAAGTCTTACTTTGGGAGGGTAATGGATTAATCTTTAGCCGTTTTGATGGAGGAAAATGTGATCTGCAGATATCTCCACCATCCCGGCAGGTGCACAGTACGCACAGATGTCACTTGGTGGGGTTGAGGAGCTGAGCAAGAATGGGGATTCGGCAACGGGGGTATAATTGAATTATAATTGATATGAGGAGCAAGATTTAGAGATTTACCATCTGGTTATTTAACATAGCCATGGAAAATCACCATTTTTAATAGGTAAACCATCTATAAATGAGAAGTTTTCCATGGCTATGTTAAATAACCAGAGGGTAAAGTGTTCCAAACGATTTCGGAAGAAGATGTGGGCCATTGGGATTCACTCCAATCTACCTGGGCCTTGCAGCGCTTGCCGCGCCCAGGTGGCTTGGTGTTACGAGCTAGATGTCTTTGATCAGCAAGTGTCGTTGCTCGGTGGAATAAAAAAACGCAACTGGTACAAGGTGGTGCCCCAGTTCGTTAGCTAAGTTGGTGCAAATAAGTCCAATAGCTATGGTTTATAGGTGATATATCTATAGTTACTGCGATTATAACCCATTTATAATTTGGGGGGGCACCACCTTGTACTCCAAAAAATGAATAGCTCAATTGGAGCTGTTCTGCGACATCATCCATCACCTGGAAAGCCTCAAAAAAGTGTATGATGTTGGTAAAACATCCAATTTCTCCACATAAATAGCTGGCATAAACCATTCCCAAATGGCTGGTTTATTATTGTCTTATCCACATTACGTGGCTATAAAATCACTGAGAAGTCTCCGGGATCGCCATCTCCCAGGTGTTACTCAGCGACCAATGCGCACGACCATCGCTTTGATGTGGCCGGAGATCTCAGTGAGAAACGCAAAAACAAAGACTGCAAGATAGAGGGACAGTTGACTTTCTCAAATATCTCATGATTATGTTTCTGGTTATTGTTTTTAAAGACCCAAAAATGCTGCTTAGCAGCTACATACCCGCTATTACATGCTGCCATTAGATATCTACCCTATCTCTTTCAGCCAGGTCCATTGTCATTGGTTCCAATCCCCAACTGTCATCTTAGTCTGGTTGGTGGTTTGGAACATGTTTTCTTCCCATTCAGTTGGGGAATTTCATCATCCCAACTCTTACTCACTCCATGATTTTTCAGAGGGGTTGGTTGAAACCACCAAACAGTAGAGACTGTACCCTCTGGTAATCAAACATGTCCATTGGAAAATCCCCAAACTCGATGGAGGTTAGTTGGGAAGATCGAAATCTGGGGGATTTTCCGGCGGAACTTGATTGCTGGAGGGTAATCCATGGGAAAATCCCCAGTTGATGTTTGATGAAACTGGAGGATATATCCCTTTTTTAATCCCCATGAAGTTCCCATCACGAATCCCCAGTAAATTCCAGGAAATCCCCATCAAATCCCCATGATGGTTCTCCATGTCAGATCCACCATCCCCCAAGGTCCGAGTGGACGCGCCCAGCGCCTTGACGCGCAGCATTTTGCAGGAGCCAAGAAGAAGTCCATTTGCTGTTGAAGATCATCCCGGGTCATCTAACACTTCGCGAAGTGGAAAATCCACCATCTTTACAAGGTGGTGCCCCATAGTTAGCTAAGTTGGTGCAAATAAGTCCAATAACTATGGTTTATAGGTGATATATCTATAGTTAATGGGATTATAACCCATTTATAACTTTAGGGGGCACCACCTTGTAGTAGGTAAATCAACTATTTCTACGGGCATTTTTTTCAATAGCAAACTGTAACAGCTTACCAGAGGGTAACTGGTGTTATAAATGGTGACAGTGACTCAACATCTTATTTCATTCATGCATTTCATGCACTTGGGGATGGGTTGTTTGTCAAGTTACCTATGAAATTACCATCGTTGGGGGACGTTTTTTTACCATCCATTCACCATTCACCAGCTATGACTGGCTACCCATGGGATGATGTCAGGAGGGCGAGGCTACGGCGGAGTTCTCCTGGTTTCCAGGTTTCGCGTGGTCCATGGCGCACTGTGCCTGGCCTGGCCTGTTTCGGGGAACTCTGGGGATTCTGCAGCAACAAGGGATGTATAAATCATGGGAGAAGGAGATACCCTCTGGTGAACGTTTACATAACTATGGAAAATCACCATGTTCAATGGGTAAATCAACTATGTCTATGGCCATTTTCAATAGCAAACTGTTAGTTTACCAGAGGGTAAACCATCCAAGTATCCAAGTGGTGCAAAAAAAATCGCCACAGTATTTCCTGGAGGGGGGGCTTGAATGGTACATCTCTGTTTGGATCGAGGTGCTGAATGCATCAACAAAGCATGTGAAAGATTTACATATTTTGAGCCAACAGCAAATTGTTATTTTTGAGGTTTGTGAAAAACAATCTTATTACATTAACCTTCTGCAGTCCCATGAATGGTCCCAGATGCAGTTGAGCACCTTGTTGAGCACCCAATGTAGATCTGTTTATGGTAGCTCCAAAAAAAAATCTGAGTCGCTGAAAAACCAACGGCATCCGGTGGTTCACAGAAAAGATCAGAGCACAACTCGCCTCAGGTGCCAACTGCTACTGTCATTTGGGTTGGGCCTTTGAAGCCGAGACGGCGCAGGCGGGAGAACCATTCTCAGCCAAGTATCCTTCAAGATCCTTAGCCTAGTGGAATGGATGTTCAATCTGAAAGCCATGTTTTTTTTGGGATCAGTCTGGAGTTTCTATGGGGTTAGTCATATCCCAAAAAGCGAAAATCTGCCACTTGCCCTCTGAGATGGTAACGCTTTGACGCTTTGCCAAGCTATCTTTAGATCAATCCATTGAATTATACGCTTCATTGCTTAATAGTGCCTGAAAACCCATAATAACCATATAATAAAGAAAACTCATATTAAGAACCAGTGGTATTATTCACATATATGGTTATATAGTAGTTATGTGTATATATATATATATGTACTTAGAGCTGATACATAAGCCAATTTATAACCATTGGTACTATAACCCATCATATATAATGCACTGGGTTACTCCCCCGTACTTCTTGAGATGTCAGCACCGACTGAACGTGGCAGGAAGAACCAGACCCAGCTTCGAAGCCTCATGCCCAGTGGCATAGGGGCAAGCATTGGATGCAACGATGGGACGGTGTCAATGGTGTTTTTTCTTGTTTTTCTATGTGTGCAGTGCAACTTTCCCCAACTTTCAAAACAGTTAACGAAATCGCTGTGCCTTTTTCGAAAGAATCCAAATCTCCAAAGAAATCAGCCATTTTTTTGTTTCAAATATCCCAAAGTCAGTACATCTCCAAGCATTAAAAATCAAAAAGACCTATTATGCCATGGCAAAAACCTGAGGCCTGAGGTGGCTTTCTTCGGACTTGTGCTGACGAGTCTGGATCTGGATCTGGGGCATTTTGGGCAGATGTTTTTTGAGCTCTCCAAGCCATGGAAAATCCGATGGTGAAACTGGATGGATTTGATTGCGTTGAAATGTAGTTTGATGGTTTTAGATTGGTTTTCGATGGGGTGAAAAATTTCTTGGTGGGTGTCATTGTTTTTTGTGAGATGAAAGCAGCAAGAACCTGGATGTGATTGATTGTTGGCTGTTTGATTTCTGTTCATCAGTGATTTCCATGGTTGGTGGCTATAATTGGTCTTTATTGATTTTTTGGGGCTATGCAATATTGCAAGCTGCAAAGAGTTTTATGTGGTTGAATGTTGGAAATCCACGTTGCAAAACTTCGCCTTTTTGGCTGTGCAATTGCTCATTCGTCGCCCAGCCTTGCTGATCATCCCACTTAATTAGCAAGCAGTTAGTGCCCATGACTATTCAAGTCTCCCATGTGGCGTTATCTTATTTCCTTTGGGATTACAACCATACTTCCAAAGCCCAAGCACTTTCTATTTGGGATGAAATGTGCCAATGAAAGCGAGAGTCCTTTGTCCTCCACAACGTCAGAAGCAGGAAATGAAGCCGGCCAAAATAAACGATATCTGTGTGTGTGTAGTTTTTTTGGTTATCCCAATCAATAAATTAGAAGGAATGGGTAGGTTCGAACGAATTGTTCACGAGAATGTTCATGAATCCACGGGTCGATTCCAGTCAATAAGTGAGTAGTAAGTGTCAAGAACCAAATGTCACCATGCACAAACCACTGAGGTTGATGGATTATGATGGATTCATATTAACAAAGTCGCCACGCTTTAAAGATCAACAAACATACACATTCCGAAACCACTGTCTCATCTCATCAACTCCGCCAAGGAAGATGCGGGAACATCAACGGCTCGAAGAGGAGGCGGATTTTGATTTCCAGGGCACGGCTTGGGATCTGGTAAGATCTGCCCAACAAAGAAAAAGGGTTGTGTTTGCCATTAAAGATGATTATGTGTATAAGCAGGATAATCTGTGGATATTATATATATATATCAGATATCAATCACATTGATGAAGTGTCCGTCCAAACAATAAAATGCACAGAAAATGTGGTGCGGATCACATGCGCAAATTTGAAGCCATATCGATATGCTGTTTTTTGAGTCTATCAATTGTAATGGGTGGTGTTTGATCATTTGTTATATAACTACATAATGTGTCAAAAACAGAAGTTCCATGGATATGTGATCTGTAGGTTAAGCCATTTGGATAGGCACTCAATGGACATTTCGATGTCCCGGAAACCATCAGTTTCAATCCACATTGCCCACTGTCTGAATTGTGTCGCGTTCGTTCCAGTGTTGAAACACCTTGCGTTGTTCCAACAATAAAACCTCTAGCTGACAAAGGGGAAGTCCCATTGATATCAAATGATACCCTCTGGTAAACTAACATAACTGATGGGAAAATCACCATGCTATCAATGGGTAAATCCACTATTTCTATCACCATTTTCAATAGCAAACTGTTAGTCATTACTTGGTCGACGCTTTTCAGGCAAAAGCTGGGGATTTCCCAGTCGGCGGTGGTTGACCATGTGTGATGCCCGCAGAGATTTGCCACTGGTTAATGCCCCCTATAGTTCTTTAGTGCATACATACATAAATCATGAAACCTATTCTATTTAAAAAAAAAAAAAACAGATCGTTTTGTGTACCCGTGGGCTAATATTAGTTATTGATACATATATATATACACACATACATATATATATACATATATATGTACATCAACATAGATGTTTGTCACTAGAACTACATCCAAAACAAAACACACCAGACCACCTCACCAGGTGACCCAACTCTTCGAACAGCGCGCCGCCCGGGGCGCAGCGGCCGCGCGGCCGCGCAGTGGCGCAACGTCGCCCAGGCGCTGGGCTTGGGAAGGATGGTATTGACAGAGAGATAGGTGGATATGTATAGACAATATGAATGAATACTATTTTATATTATATTGTACATGTATATGTATATGTATGTGTATCTGTATATGTATATGTAAATGTATATGTATATGTAAATGTAAATGTATATGTATATGTATATGTATATGTATATGTATATTATCTACATATATGTATACACGTGTGTGTGTATTGATATGTTTAATATTCACTGTAGACAGGATGTATGGTTGTGGATGGATATATATATGCATACATACCCCTGACACATAGATCGCGCTTTTCGATTGAACAGATACCCAAACGTGAGGAGTAGATGAACCTACTCTCAGGGATAGCCCCCAAGCCCATGGATCCCATGGATCCAGGCGTGAACTCCGGGATGGTTTGATCTCCCTCGTGCAGACCATACAGCAGACCTTCCGAAGCTTGATGGATGGCAGATTTCACCGGAAAATGGGGGACTCAATAGGGGTAACCCATAAAAATGGTGCTGAATTTGGATCACCCCATTTATTTGTTCTTCATACACGGTGTTTTTGATGAGAAATGCTCCGAACTGTGTGTTTTCTTTTGTGTTTTCTGGATGCATAGTCAGTGCACGGCCTTTTTTTAAACCCCCTATGACAGGCTTCGAGCCCCATTTACCAAGAAGCAGCACACATATGTAATGCCAGTTAGGGAGTGGGCTGAAACTGACAGGACTTTGCCCAATGTCATGATAAGCTTGACTTTTTCAACGGGCATCAAAGTTCAATATGTTGGTTCGTGCAAATCTCCATGTTCCTTGGCTATCAGTTATAATTACTGTAACCAGATTCCATCCTTTTTCTATGGGGTATTCATGGACTTGCTGTCCGCTTAAAAAAAAGATCCCAGCAAAACAGTGATTAACATTGATTATCTAAGTATAGCCAGTTTGGTTCACCTCCCATTGAGCTTGAATGTGTGATTTGTCTTGCGAAAGATATGGGGAAAAAACCTGAATGTCATCGCTGGATTTTTTGAAAACTGGTTGATATATTGAGCGGTTCCCGCAAAGAGTGACGATTTGGTACTAATTGCCTTTCCTTCTGGTTATATATAATTAAAATATATATATATAATTATAATTGTAAGAGCCCAAGGGGTTTTCTCAATACACAGAACTGACATTCCAGGACACTTTCCACTGGATGAGGCGATGTTGACGTCTTTAGCGCCTTGGCGCCGCTGACGTCGTAAGTGGGGTTTGTTGACTGGTTGATGTTTTAGCCAGGTGTTCTTTGGAATATCATGGAATATATCTACGATATATGTTGAGATCCCACTAAGTGCAACCGTGCTGACACCCCAGGGGAAAAAAATATAAAACAAGGGTTCTGGGGTCTGGGGTTCATTCATCATCTTCCATTTCACCAATTATCACACTTTCAGTTAGTGGCGCTTTGCCTCATTCGTTTTTTCATCATTTTACATCATCTCATCCTTGGCATCTCATTCATTTTTCATCCATCATCTCTTTCCTCATCTCACCAACTTTTCACCTCACCTCATTCGTTTTTCCATCTTTCCGCATCATCATGATTTGTTGGCTCTCATCCATTTTTTCATCTGTTGTTTCATCATTGGGTTAGTTCATCCATTTTGTTAATTCTTTGAGTTTATGGGTTGTAGTTATAGTGTGGTTTTAGGCTTTAGGATTTATGGCTAGTCGTTGTCCTTCATTTTGTCCCTCCATTGCTTCTTCCTCATCAACTTCTTTCAGAAATAAGTTTGGAAATCCAGAGTTTGGAGCAAATAAAGTTTCAAACTTGGAAGGAGTGAGCAATGCATCATTTACATATATATTGTAATAGTAATATTTCAAGGTTCTTTTGATGCTTTTTGGTTTGTTCGTGTTTTACGGGGGGCCCCCGTCCGCCCCGTTGCAAACCGACTTCATCGCCAACCTCTTTGGATGTGTCGTCCGGGCACTCGGTCGCAACAAAATTCATGGATTTTTGACGTCCTGCATCTGGCATTTTGTTGCTTGGAGGTAGGATTTTAGGGTAATGAAGGTGTTTTTCACTTGAAGTTTGCATTCAGTAGCTTCCATGGCAGAGAGCCATTTCGACTAGAAGAGCACGGCGGGTTAAAAGCGCACCGTTGTTGAAGCCCCATGTCGAGCCATTGCGTGATGACGATGCTTGTGGCACTGCTTTTGGCATTCACTGCACGGACATCTGCCGAAGAGACCAACATGAACGTGAGTGGAAAGCAGATGGTTAAGGAATTGACCAAGGGCAACATGAGCATTGGGAGGAATCACTCGGTGGCAACATCCAATGACCCCGTGTCCCAGGGCAGAGCCTTGCGCAGCGTGACGATCCCTATATTCGAAGACCCCACTGCAAACTATATCATGATTGCTGTTGTTATTGTTGTGCTTGTGGTCTGTCCGATGGTGTGCATGGTGTCTAAGGCATGTAAGGGTTGATTGTATTGCTCGGAAGGAACGTCGCAGTCCTACAGAGGAACGTCGCAGTGCTACAGTTTCTGCTTTGGGAGAGGTTTGAAGTAAAGATACAACCTGTGCAGATGCAAGATCAAAGGTCTAGTAATTTGCCCTCAACAAGGCACGTCTTGTGTTGAGCAGTCGAGCTTGGATTGGGCAGAAAGCAAGGGCAACACGAAGTTTGCCACACCTTTCTTTTTAGCTACAGAGGTTGCTACAACAGCTTTTGACCTACCCCAGGTTTAGATAGGTCTGGACACAGATTTAAAGATGTGACACAGACCACTGCGATCAGAGGGAAAAAACGCCTTTGCTTCGTTGCCGGTCTATATACTAGGCAGTCGTCGCGACTTGAGGGTTGGTGTTGAAAGGCTCTTCAAAGTTTGACATTCTTGAGCATTTGCCTGTCAGTCTTCAAATCATGACATTCTTGAGAATTTGCCAGTCAGTCTTCAAAGCAGTTGGACAATCACATCAATGCATGTCAGATGAGATAGACCATATCCTCACGACGAAGCGATTTTAGGGTTCAGGATTTCATTTGTGATTTCTTCGCTTGTTCTCTTCTTGTGCTTCTACGAGTATGCCACCAAAGAAGCAGACCGATGGTTCAAAGGCAAAGTCAGGATATGAAGGAGCACTTGATTTCGGGTCAAAAAGAAAGAGTGTGTCAGTTTCATTCTTTGTCGTTTCTTGAACTTGACTGTCAAGCCCGTGAGTTCTTTGAACATCAGATTTAGTCAGTCCAAACATTCACTCAATGCCATTGTCGTTTCACCGAAGCATTTTTGATACATCAATTCGGTTTGTTCGCTCTTGCTTCACTCCATGTCGTTGTCCAAGCCGATGGAGGGCAACCCCGTTCCTAGAGAGCAGAAGCCGAGACCCGAACATTGGGCTCACCAGTGGCGTCGTCAAATCAGTCAGATTCAAATGCTCAACAGTGTCCTTATGGAGAAACTGAAGGGATACGGGGATGATACTGTAGTATCATTGACCTTCAGGCATTTTCATCTTCAATGGCAGGATACGGGGAGAAAGATGTGTCCTGTGGTTCAGGGGGTTCAGCAGGTGGCGATGATGAACCACCAAATGATCATGAGCCATCCGGCAATGGTGGAGATGACAGCGATGATGGAGATGATGACCTTTACGGGTCAGACAGTGATGAGGATTGGTTAGAGGTGTTCGTGAGCAACGGCACTTCAACACTGGTCGCCGAAGTGATGTTCAAGGCCATCATCTACTTCGTCGCCACCAAGTGGAAGATTGGCAACACGAGACTTATGAGGTTTGTGAATGCGAAGGGCAACACAATGCTTCCATTGATGACCATTTCCCAGAATGAGGTGAAGCATCATTCCACTCTGACCCTTCTTTTTGATGGTTTGGGTGGAGCATCGGCAAAGAAAAGGAAACCAATGATTAACGACCTCAAGGTGAAGACGGATGACCACACGCTTGTGAAGGCATGTTTTGCCTTGGAGACCTTCAACGAGAGACCTTGGCTTCAGTCCCTAAAATTGGAGCAGGTGAAAGGTTATGTGGAGGCGATGGAGAAGAGGCAGAACTTCGTTGCTCAAGTCCAAGCGACCGTTGAACTTGTTAGGGAGTTTAAGGCTTTGAAGGACTGATGTTGCTAAAAGTGTTTGTTTTTAAACATCAAGAGTGTTGAGGTTGAACATCAGGAGTGTTGAGGTTGAACATCAGGAGTGCCGAGGTTGAACATCAGGAGTGTTGAGGTTTGCCCCCCAAAAACCCTAATTCTGCTGTTGTTTTGAACATCCGAGGTTCGGAGGTTGAACATCCGAGGTTGAGAGGTTGAGCATTAAAGGTTCAGATGTTGAGCATTGAAGGTTTGGAGGTTAGACATTGGAGGTTCATTTGTTTGAGCATCCCTTTTGGACAGGAATTCACATCAAACATTGAGTTTCGCAAAGAAGCATCAGAGGAGTATGTCCGTCAGTTGGTCTCACAGTCCCTTGAAGAATATGGAAAAGGTGAATGGTTGGGTGTGGCACGAGCCAGATTGAAGGACTTGGAAGACGGAAAGACGACTGATGAACCCATGAAGTAGCAACACCAAAACGGTGCGACCAATCAGCAAAGACCGAAAATTGAGGGTTGAAAAAAAGTTTTCTGTCAGGATTTCAGTTTGCTGACAGTTCATTAGAACGATACTTTGAGAAGATTAGCACTTGAATAGCATTGAAGAAGGATGACATACTCCAATTCATCCCTTTCACCCCGACAGCATTGGACACTGTTGCCATTCTCTCCACGCCGAGGTTATGAAGACATCATTGAATTTGTCTTCAAGAAGGTCAATCCCAGCAGACTTCAAAACCTGACATTTGGGACAATGACTTCAACCAGAGACTGGACAAAGCGAACATTCCGAACAGTCTTCAAATCTTGGACTTTCATTTACACCAATCCATGGATGTAGGCAACCCACGAATCTTTACAATCCACCAGTTAGAATGTATTGAACTATGTAAAGTATCTATCATCCCTTTCCCCATTGTATGTATCCTGCTTGTCAGAAGGTTCATCTTCTTCAACTTCGGTTTGAAACCTTTCGGGGTTGGTTGGACGGGTTGGTTGCTTGATTTGATGGAAAAATAAAAAAAGAAAAAGGGGGCACTGATGGGGGAGCGAACCGCTCATCAAGGCATACCCCACAGTGCCACCCTGAAAGAGAGAGAAAGAGATGATGCCAGTGATGGGGGAGCGAACCGCTCATTGAAGCAAACCCCACACTGGCAATAGGAACAATGTAGGTAAATGGAGCACTGATGGAGGGAGCGAAATGGTCTGAAGAGTAAGCATACCCTCATCAGTGGCATCCAACAAACAATCATTAGGTTTGGTGATAATTCATTGATGTAATCTAATTTATATACCCAAGGGTTGAATTTACACGGATGGTTATACTTGGTTGGGTTATGCCGTGTAAATTGACCCAAACAACCCTCCCAAACCTTCAAAGGGCAACCCCTCCCTCTTTAGGGAGTTCAACCCCCGTTTCATAAATCCGCCCACACCGCTTTGGCGGTGAAGGCGTGCTTATTGGGGGGCAAAACAGCAACACTAAATGCTCAATGACATTTGTTAATATAGCAGTCGCTATATCAGCTTTAGCTGGGGGGGGGGGCCAAAAACGGTTTCGCACCGAGACCAGAATACGGTGGTGTTTTCGACATTTTTCGAGGATTTTTGGGTGTCTGAGCGCAAGAGGGTATTGAAATGGAATTTTGGGTCATTTTGGTAGCTTTCCGGCAATGGAAAAACGGCCAAAAATGAAAAAAACATTGTACATAGCAAGATTTTGCAGGGTTTTTGGATGCCAGAGCATTGAAAACACTGCAAAAACAAGTGTTTTGGACTGACGTTATAGCAAAAAACGTGTAAATTACCGTATGCTTGACTGGAAACATTACAAAAACACTGTCAAAAGCAATGTTTTGGAAGGATTTACTGCCTTTATGGCAAAAAACGTGTAAATTACCGTCTGTTTGACTGGAAACATTGGAAAAACACTGTCAAAAACAATGTTTTGGAAGGATTTCTTATATATATGTTGGAGTTGGCTACCGGCATTGGAACATGGAAAAATTGAAGAAAACACTGTAAATAGCGGTATTTTCAACGGGTGGGGAGATAAGGGAATTGGAAGCATTGTCGAACATGATGTTTTCGACCGGTTTTATGGCGACAAAAGTGTAAAGTACCGTGCTTTGAAGGAAACCATTGCAAAAACATGGAAACACTTCAAAGAACACGGGATTTGGGGGACTATCTAGGCGTCGTTGTCTAGCTATTTGAAATTCCGCAGCTTGGAGAGCCTCCAAGGGAGGGAAAAGTGAAAATTCCATAGCTTGGGAAGCTGTCACGGCGGGGAAAAGTGAAAATTCCCTAGCTTGGGGAAGCCCCCACGGGGGGGAAAAGTGAAAATTCCCTAGCTTGGGGAGCCCCCACGGGGGGGAAAAGTGAAAATTCCCTAGCTTGGGAAGCCCCCACGGGGGGAAAATTCCCTAGCTTGGGGAGCCCCCACGGGGGGGAAAAGTGAAAATTCCCTAGCTTGGGGAGCCCCCACGGGGGGGAAAAGTGAAAATTCCCTAGCTTGGGGAGCCCCCACGGGGGGAAAGTTAAAATTCTTAGCTTGGGGAGCCCCCACGGGGGAAAACCACCCTTAGCCCCTCTCACGGACCGAAATAAACCTGCGGTGTGGGCGGCCACCCCACGCGAAGCGGGGTGAATAGGCATCCGGTTGAAAGATGCTTATAAATGAATATAGCACTTCAACAAAAGTCAGCACATCATCCTATACAAATGCACTCATTTCATTTATCATCCCAAACCCCATCATTTGAAGATTTCGTGGCAGACGCGGTATTTGGAACAAACCCTACACCAACACAGCACCAAAATGCGAACAACACCTAAAAACACTTAAAGAAATACCAACTATAGTATATAAGATAGTAGATATGCCTTTTATGTTCATTGATGGTCAGAAAATGCGAATTGACAATGACATCTTTGATACAATGTCTCAATTGGTTCAAGATGAAATTACAACATCATCAGAAGAAGAACAAGCCGGAGGCTTATTGAACTCCAACTATGTTGGAGTTGAACCCAACAGACCCAGCAGATGGAGGGATGACGGCACTTATGACAAGAAACCATTAGACCCTAATTACTTCAAAAAGTATTATCAAAATCATCTCAAGCAACCATTCACCTGTCCAGACTGTGGAAAAACAATATCAAGCAAATCCAATCTATCCAAACATCAACAAACAGCAAAATGTAGGAACGCCAAAATCACTTGATGATGTGATGCCTTCTTCATCCATCCCATTAATAAGCATTAATGAGATTGATGTGTTGAACAAGTCTTTAGACTTATTGAACTTCAACAAACTTTTGTTGAAGTTTAACTCCAGCCCCAAAACCAGACACCCCAACACTGAACCCCAGAAAAACTACTTAAAGAGAAAATGACTATATATATATATTATAGAGTATATATATATATATGGTAGAAGGTTCAGAGAGAAATATTATAGATTATATATTAGAAAGCAACCGTGGCGAAATAATTAGAAAGGGTGAAAGGGAAACCAACTTCATAAAGATAGATGATAAGAGATACAGATACAATAGAAACAATCCCATATCAGACACACTCAAAAAGAAACTCAACAAAGTCAAGAAAACAATAGAATACAAACGACACGAACTAATAAACAAGACAGACGCAAGATGGTTGAAAGTTGATAAGAACAAAGCACTCATAGCAATCCAAAGAAACTACACAGCCAATATCAGAAGAGAACAAGCCTTCGGAAACTATGCCAACACCTACTCAATAACAGACATCAAAGTCAGAGGATTAAAAGGACTGTCATACATCAAATACCAAGAACCAAATTTAAAACAATACATTCAAGAGAAGAAAGGGATGAAAATATGGATGGAGATGTTCGCAACTTTCATCAGAAAGAATACTGGTGATGAAATCGATCACATAACACGAACAAGACTTTATGAAATAACAAATGTTGAAGAAATCAAACCAATGATGAACCAAATGGCAACTGATTTAGAAGTCCATTATGACAAATACAATCCAACCCGTGGAGGTTCATTCATTGAACTACCTGATTGGGTTGAGAAAAAGAAAGCCTGTATTAATATTCAAAACACCGATAATAAGTGCTTCAAATATTCAGTCCAATGCGGAGTGTATAAGGTTTATGAAAAAGACCACGCTTGTAAGGTTCATCATTATAAAAACATTGAAGATACTTTAAACTGGGATGGTGTTAAATTTCCTTCAACAAACACTGATATACAAAGACTGGAAGACAACAATGAAGGTCAATTATCAATCAATGTTTATCATATAAGTAATGAATTACAATCCAACACAATCTTACTATATAGAAGAAGCAAAGTATCAAAGGCAACTCATGAAATAGACCTTTTAAAGTTGGAAGATGGCAACAACTCACATTATGTTTTCATCAAAAATTATAGTAGGTTGATGTCATCAACCTCTGCCATATTCTTTAACTTGAAAATGTATAATGAACTTGTATTCAGTCTGACTATAGGAGCAAGGGCGTTATACTTTTGCGAGGCTGTTATGACTGATAAACCAAAGTGTCTGGATTTTGTATATAAACCGTGTAATATTTTTGAATATCTCATAAATGTCTTATCTTCAGCAAAATCATCTATAATCAATAAGCAACTGAAAAGTTTAGTCATTTTCATCTTCTTTTGGTATTCTATTACTTTATGCTGTGTGACTATTATATGTGTCAATGCTTCAGCATTGTATTCATCAAATAAATATTGCTCCTTTTTATTATCTATTTTCAATTCCTTCTCAATGTATTTGATGATTTCCTTGTATGCTTCGTCTATGTGAGCGGTTGGTGATATAATGTAAATCCTCTCAAAGCATCCTCTATAGATTTTCAATATTAGATTTTGGATGAGAATACCCTTACCGCCTTGACTGGCACTTACAATGATTGACCTGAAGGGCAGTTTGTCGGCTTGTTGGTATGGGCTTTGTTTGAATTCATACTGTTTAACATTGATTGGTTCTATTTTTGGAACATCTATTTTTTCATTATAATATATATTTACAAAATAAAATATATTATAATTATTGTATTGGATGCCTTCATATGATTAGGGGTCTATGATGGGACAGAGGCCAAACAATCCCGCAGAAGCCGGTTAATTAGTTTGTCTTTCAGTTCCCCAGAAGCAAAGGTCTAAGAAGAGCACAGCAATTCAAACATCAAAGCCTTTTTACAGCGCCATCTACACAAAGCAAGAACGGTTAAAAAAAAAAAAACATAAAAATAGCATAAGTTCAAAGCCACAGTGATTGATACAAGTTGCCTATCCCCGTCTGTATGGATAATTAAAATTAAGAGTGTGATTTTAATTATTCTAAAAATCTATTTTCATTTAATAATATCAAATGACTATAGCAGAGTATGAAGCCTACATATCAACAATAGATGAAGTGGAAAACAGAATAGTTGATGATGATAAATACCCAGTAGTCAATGATGACAGGATAAAAAACTGTTGTAAGTATTCATTGGAAGTTGCCAAGGTCTTTGTCAATTATCTAAAATCTAATATAGATGTCAAGGAAAAAGCCAAAAGCAAAAGCGAGTAGTATGAAACATAAACCAGTCCCAGGAGATTTTGAACTTTCAGATGATGAACCAACAACAATCAAACTGGATGAAGACCAAAAACTCACAAGCAAGTTTATCACCTTTGATTGTCCCTTATGTAAGGGCAAACTACAATTAAGAAATGAAATTGAAATCAACCCAAAGGGCATAAAATGTTCTTGTAATCCGTGCTCATTCAAAATCAGCAAGAGTGATAAAACAATGAATGTAAGCAGAGATGACAACGGATATAAAACTGGACACTGAAGCACACAGTATATCCTTTAGTTGGAATAGGCAAATTGCACCAGAGGACAAAGACAAGGAAAGCACAAACCAAATGATAAGTGATGTAATGAGCACTCCAAGGAATAGCAAGAAACAATTGATGATAAATGATATGGATTGATGAAACTTTCCCATAAAGTGTTTTAAAGAGATGCGTTCAACCTAAAAATAAAAGTTTAGTTTTAAAAATCTACAGTAATATATATATATATTACTTTTGAAGAGAAGGTTGAATAACTACCAAAGGAAACAAAGAATAGCAAACTAAAAAACTGTAAAAACATTAATGATATTGCTGATGAAGTAGTCAAAAATTTCAATTACTTCCAATTGAAATTTCAAGATTTAGAAGATAGGGTTAAAAAGTTAGAATGGAAGCCAAAATCAACAAAAACCCCTGATGAAAATGATGCGACCTACAGAAACAAACGCAATATCTACCTTGGCAAATTGAATGATAAGTTAATCAAAGAACCCAAGCAATCAACACTGGACTACTACAAAGTCAAATATGATGAAAAAGAAAATATTTATTATTAACTTCTAAATCGCTGTAATAATGGGTAAGACATTATTAGAGTTATTTAGTGGAACTGGAAGCGTTGGCAAAGTTGCTGATGATTTGGGATATAGATGAGATATTCAGTTTTTTAGACCAATAATATCTCGTGTCTTAAATAAGGTCTTCCTTCACCTTGTAAAATGTATGTCTTATTACCCATCATATCGTATTTTATCTTTTCAACTTTGTAGATTTTCTTGCTCCATTTAGGGTTAGTTTCTTTTCTGTCGGTGTAGTTGCCTTTGTTCTTCGTAAATACTTTGACATTATCATTTTCATTTATTGGTGGATACTTTCTTCTGTTCCTTTCTTTGTTTATCAAATTGACGCTGACATTCAAGTGGTTGTCATCTTTATGTGCTTCTTTTGGTGTCATTCCAGTTGATGAGTGCTTTGTGGTGTTGTATTTTTTGAGTGTTGGAGTAAGCATTGATGTCCAACTCTGTTGGTTGAATCTGACACGGTCGTGTATCATATTTTTAATATTCCTGATAAATCTTTCAGCGACATTTGCGTGAGTTAAGGTTCTTATCTGTTTGATGCCTTCAGCATCTAAATACTGTTTAACAACCGAAGCAAATGCTCCGTCATCATCAGAATAGATAGACATTGGACTACCCATTTTCTCAAAACTCTCCTTCAGTGCTTCTAACACACTTGGACTATTCCTCTCTTTCGTCGGCACTACATTTGCTAATTTACTAAAGATGTCAATAACAACAAGTCCATAACGCATCTCATCTTTCTTAACAGGAATTTTTGCTTCAGGGTTTTTGACCAATGAAACCATATCCATTATGTCAATCTGATATTCAAATCTGGCAAACGGTGCGGTGTATGAATTAGAGCCTCTATACTTTTTGACTTGCTTATTTGGTTGTTTTCTCATAAACTTATCAATGTCATCTTGTGTGATGGACGGGTCTTGTTTTTTGGCTTTGGTTAATGTTGCTTGTTTGCTTCCGAAGCCTTCTTCAATATCATAATAGACATTGCTAATAATCTGTTCTTTTGTTAAATTTCTTGCCATTATACTATTTTAGAAAATAAGTTTATCAAACCAAAATAAAAAGAAAAACTGACACCGAAAATTAAAAACTACTTAAAGAAATATTACCTTAATATATTAAGAGAAAAATATGACTATGTCAGAATGTAGGCACTTTGTAGAAAATGAACATGAGCACGATATGGGATACTGTGTGAAGTGTGCCTTGAAAGAAGAAATGAATAAATGTAGAACTTGTCAAATCAATAACAATAAACTTAAGAAAGCAACTAACAGATTTCCTGATGTTATTGTTGATTTAATCAATAGTTTCAATGCTTGTAAGAGATGTATTAAAACCATTGATTTGATCAAAAAAGAACCCGATGACTTTAATATGGATGAATTGAATTTATGGTATTTTGTTAATTTAAACCCTTTACCATCAAGAACGGTTTTGAATAAACAACTTGATTATGATTACCAACTTGAGAGGTGTAGTAGAGGTAATTGGATAAGTGGTGTAATTTTTTATCATACATATCAAAATTGGTTTAATGAACTGTGGAAACCTAACACTTCTAAAATGAATGTAAATTTTACAATGATGAATATTTTAAGGATTATGTTTAGCATCAATGGTAAAAAATACAAATTAGAATATCCAACAATATTTAATGAAGAGTTTTTCAGAGATAATATTTTTCATTACTTGAACAGAAATACTACTATTAGAAATTAAACAAGTTAGTTGATAATATCTTACTTCAACATATTATGAACTAAACGTTTATCATAACTACAACCCATAAAATGTCATAACATATAACCATAGCATAATCATACACCATAAACCCAAGGATGGAACAAAAACGGATGAACTAACCCAATGATGAAACAACAGATGAAAAAATGGATGAGAGCCAACAAATCATGATGATGTGGAAAGATGGAAAAACGAATGAGGTGAGGTGAAAAGTTGGTGAGATGAGGAAAGAGATGATGGATGAAAAATGAATGAGATGCCAAGGATGAGATGATGTAAAATGATGAAAAAACGAATGAGGCAAAGCGCCACTAACTGAAAGTGTGATAATTGGTGAAATGGATGAGGCGATGAAGATGATGAATGAACCCCAGACCCCAGAACCCTTGTTTTATAACTTTTTTAGGGGACCATTGGCCAAGGATGAGACGCAACGGATGCTGACTAGACACAGGCTGTGGCCACGCCATGGTCGGCTGTGCAGTTTGTGAGGTCTGTGGCTTGAAGCTGTGATGTAGGCGAGAAGATGTGAGACTGGTGTATGAATTTACAAATATATATATATAGATAGATAGATTAGATTAGATTTAGATTTAGATTTAGATCTAGATTTAGATTTATATATATACATATACATAGATAGATTAGATTAGATTTAGATTTAGATTTAGATTTAGATGTATATATATATACATATACATAGATAGATTAGATTAGATTTAGATTTAGATTTATATATATATACATATACATAGATAGATTTAGATTTAGATTTATATATATATATATACATATACATAGATAGATTAGATTAGATTTAGATTTACATTTAGATTTAGATCTAGATTTAAATTTATATATATATACATATACATAGATAGATTAGATTAGATTTAGATTTAGATTTATAATTATATACATACACATAGATAGATTAGATTTAGATTTAGATTTAGAGATATATATATATACATATACATAGATAGATTAGATTAGATTTAGATTTAGATTTAAATGTATATATATATACATATACATAGATAGATTAGATTAGGTTTAGATTTAGATTTAGATTTAAATATATATATACATATACATAGATAGATTAGATTAGATTTAGATTTAGATTTAGATATATATATATATATACATATACATAGATAGATTAGATTTAGATTTAGCTTTAGATTTAGATTTAGATACATATATATATACATATACATAGATAGATTAGATTAGATTTAGATTTAGATTTAGATTTATATATATATACATATACATAGATAGATTAGATTTAGATTTAGATTCAGATTTAGATTTAGATTTAGATTTAAATTTATATATATATATACATATACATAGATAGATTAGATTAGATTTAGATTTAGATTTATATATATATACATATACATAGATAGATTAGATTTAGATTTAGATTTAGATTTAGATTTAGATTAGATTTAGATTAGATTTAGATTAGATTAGATTAGATTTAGATATAGATTTAGATATAGATTTAGATATAGATTTAGATATAGATTTAGATTTAGATTTAGATTAGATTTAGATTTAGATTTAGATTAGATTTAGATTTAGATTAGATTTAGATTTAGATTTAGATTAGATTTAGATTAGATTTAGATTTAGATTTGATTTAGATTTAGATTTAGATTTAGATTAGATTTAGATTTAGACTAGATTTAGATTTAGATTTAGATTAGATTTAGATTTAGATTTAGACTAGATTTAGATTTAGATTTAGATTAAGATTAAGATTAAATTTAGATTTAGATTTAGATTTAGACTTAGACTTAGACTTAGACTTAGATTTAGATTTAGATTTAGATTTGATTTTGATTTAGATTTAGATTTAGATTAAGATTAAGATTAAGATTAGATTTAGGTTTAGGTTTAGATTTAGATTTAGATTTGATTTTGATTTAGATTTAGATTTAGATTTAGGTTAGATTAGATTTAGATTTAGATTAGATTTAGATTTAGATTAGATTAGATTTAGATTAGATTTAGAATTAGATTTAGATTAAGATTTAGATTAGATTTAGATTTAGATTTAGATTAGATTAAGATTTAGATTTAGATTTAGATTAGATTTAGATTTAGATTAGATTTAGATTTAGATTTAGATTAGATTTAGATTAAGATTAAGATTAAGATTAGATTTAGATTTAGATTTAGATTTAGACTTAGACTTAGACTTCGACTTAGACTTAGACTTAGATTTAGATTTAGATTTAGATTTAGATTTGATTTTGATTTAGATTTAGATTTAGATTTAGATTAAGATTAGATTTAGATTTAGATTCAGATTTGATTTAGATTTAGATTTAGATTAGATTTAGATTTAGATTTAGATTAGATTAGATTTAGATTTAGATTAGATTTAGATTAGATTTAGATTAGAATTAGATTTAGATTTAGATTAAGATTTAGATTTAGATTAGATTTAGATTTAGATTTAGATTAGATTTAGATTAGATTTAGATTTAGATTAAGATTAAGATTAGATTTAGATTTAGATTTAGATTTGATTTAGATTAAGATTAAGATTAGATTTAGATTTAGATTAAGATTAAGATTAGATTTAGATTTAGATTTAGATCAAGATTCGATTTAGATTTAGATTTAGATTAGATTTAGATTTAGATTCAGATTTAGATTAAGATTAAGATTAGATTTAGATTTAGATTTAGATTAGATTTAGATTTAGATTTAGACTTAGAGTTAGAGTTAGATTTAGATTTAGATTTAGATTAGATTTAGATTTAGATTTAGATTTAGACTAGATTTAGATTTAGATTAAGATTAAGATTAAATTTAGATTTAGATTTAGATTTAGACTTAGACTTAGACTTAGACTTAGATTTAGATTTAGATGTAGATTTGATTTTGATTTTGATTTAGATTTAGATTTAGATTAAGATTAAGATTAGATTTAGATTCAGATTTGATTTAGATTTAGATTTAGATTAGATTTAGATTTAGATTTAGATTTAGATTAGATTAGATTTAGATTTAGATTAGATTTAGATTAGATTTAGATTAGAATTAGATTTAGATTTAGATTTAGATTTAGATTTAGATTTAGATTTAGATTAGATTTAGATTTAGATTTAGATTTAGATTAGAGATTTAGATTAGATTTAGATTTAGATTTTTAGATTTAGATTTAGATTTAGATTAGATTTAGATTAGATTTAGAATTAGATTTAGATTTAGATTTAGATTAGATTTAGATTTAGATTAGATTTAGATTTAGATTTAGATTAGAATTAGATAGATTAGATTTAGATTTAGATTTAGATTTAGATTAGATTTAGATTTAGATTTAGATTAGATTTAGATTTAGATTAGATTTAGATTTAGATTAGATTAGATTTAGATTTAGATTTAGATTAGATTTAGATTTAGATTAGATTAGATTTAGACTTAGACTTAGATTTAGATTTGATTTTGATTTTGATTTAGATTAGATTTAGATTTAGATTTAGATTTTTAGATTTAGATTAAGATTTAGATTTAGATTTAGATTTAGATTAGATTTAGATTTAGATTAGATTTAGATTTAGATTTTTAGATTTAGATTAGATTAAGATTAAGATTAGATTTAGATTTAGATTTAGATTTAGATAGATTTAGATTTAGATTTAGATTTAGATTAGATTTAGATTTAGATTTAGATTTAGATTAGAGATTTAGATTTAGATTTAGATTTAGATTTTAGATTTAGATTTAGATTAGATTTAGATTTAGATTTAGATTAGATTTAGATTTAGATTTAGATTAGATTAGATTTAGATTTAGATTAGATTTAGATTAGATTTAGATTAGATTTGATTTTGATTTTGATTACAGATTTAGACGTGCTGATTTCACAAAAATCTGTGGATGTTCTGCTTCTAACTCCTGCATTCCATGCGCTGCAGGCGAATCCCCGAGGTCGTGGCCACGCCATTGAGGCGCAGCACGACCTTGGAGGCAACGCTAACCGGGCTTCACCAGGTTGGTCTACCCTCTGGTAATGGCTGACATAGCTATTGAAAATGGCCATTTATAGTGGATTTACCCATTAAAAATGGTGATTTTCCATAGTGAACTGTTAGTTTACCAGAGGGTATTTGAAAACCACATCTGTTTTGCAGGTGTGTTTCCATGGGTTTTCTAGGATATCTTGGATGTTTTCTCTCATAAGACCATGATAAAATTCGTGGGGAATGGGAGTTTCGATGTTTTCCTTGGGCGATGCTCCATAGAAACGCTTCTGGCTGATGTTTGGGGTCTCGGGTCGTGGATGACTTGGAACATGCTGGTGCCTTGATTGTGATTTTTCTGATCAAGATGATAGTTCATGGTTCAACTCAATATGTGTACGGGTCAGGATTATGAACCCAAATTGGATCGTTAGCCAAGAGACCAGTTGCATATTTCTGGATAAATATGTAATATGATCATGGCCTCAATGTGACGTCACTGGAATGATGGGAATTGGATTCGGGGAATCATCCCCAAATGGCCCAGCATTTCAGCTATTTTTCAGGTTGGTGCCTTATTAAAACTCAGCCAGACAATTTGTGTTGGCAACCCTATCCAACGTAAGATATACCGCATGAACCCAATACATACCCGATATGTGCCCAATGGCGGTTCGATGATTAATTGTTTGATATGTGTTTGATTGTTTTTATAATATACATATATATATATATATACACTCTATATATATATACACTATACATGCATTTATTTGTTTGTTTAGTTCTATCATCAATCCCCATGAATCCCCGGGAGGATCCCATGCGGCTCTTGCAGCGCTTGAGAAACAGCCTCCGCCGAGGCGGCCATTGGGCCATTGGGGACCGTGGCCAGGGGCTTCCCGGCTTCCCTTAGCCATGCCTTTAAAAGAGGAACACGAATCATAGAGAACTATGGGAAAACGATGGTAAATGTGGGTAAATGATGGTAAATGTGGGTAAATGATGGTAAATGTTGGTAAATCATGGCAAATGTCAACTCAAAAATGGGTAGTAAACTAAGAGTTTGCTATTGAATCCATGGCCATTTAGTTCGGGGATTTACACATTAAACATGGTGATGTTCCATAGCGAAGTGTTAGTTTGCCAGAGGGTAACTATGGGTAAATGTACGGGTTTCCTAAAATGGGGCTACCCCAAAATGGATGGATGGTTTACATGTAAAATCCGGAAATAAAATGGATGGGTGGGGATTGAGTAAATGCTTGGGGATATACCCAATTACTTCCTTCAGGAAATCAAAATGTTCTATCGAACCTGGTTCTTGGAATTAGGATCTTAGCTAGGAATATGGAATTTTAGTTTAACAAACAGTAAAATGTGCATGTGATAGACAATTTTGGATCTGCTCAACAAACCTACGGTAACTATGTAACCTGGGTGGTACCTGCTGGTGAAGCCAATATGATGTCCTCATGTTTACCTGGAAGATCTGTGGCACAGACCCTGCCGCAGGCTCATTTCAGCTGTATTTGTTCGCATCCTACATGTTTTTCTGAAAAAGAAATTCGTTGCCAGGCATTTTTTCCAAATTTGCATCGTAAAAACATGTAAAAACATGTAAAAACGGGTAAAAACATGTAAAACCCACTGGTCTTTTTGCAGATTTGAACACATCGACCCCAAAAAAGATCTTTTCCAAGGAGCCCAGAATGGTGGAGTCCCTGCCCCCAGTGGGGACTGCGGAGGTCACGTCGGAATGATGGGAATTGGAGTTGGGGAATCCTCAAATAATTACAATGTGAGGCCCCCAGTGGATAGCTAAGGTGGTGCAAATAACTCCAATAACTATGGTTTATGGTATGCAAATAACTATAGTTACTGGGGCTATATGTTATATATCCCATATATCCTCATTAATATTTAATATATCCTCATCATGGGAATTGGATCTGGAGAAGATTCTGGGCCTTATTTCAGGATAGTGAATCAACACATGATTCATCCAGGATTGATTTTCTGATGATATCTGCTACCAGCCTGGTACTGGATGAATTCCTAACACTGGAAATCCGTGATATTGGACGACATTGTACTGGACAAGGTTTCATGACCGCACACGCCCAACCAAAACTTCATTTGTGTTTTTCCCGGTGTTTCAAACCCCAAACCACCTACATATTGATGGGTGTGGAGGAGTGGGTCAAGATCCATCCTAAAAAGGTTAATGTTGCAGACACTTAGATGAACCATCTTTAACCCTGTTTTCAATTTGACACCATGTTCGGGTTGATGTTGTTGTCAACTGCCCTGCGGTGGCCATGGTTCGTGGTCATGGTCTTTAGTCGGTTTGGTTAGTTGGTTCCTTGTCAAAAGCCCACAAGAGAGAGAGAGAGAGAGAGACTTGAGAGCAATATCTTGCACCAACCAGACAATATGTCCATCAACCATAACTAAGTATACAAAATGATGGTATATCACCCATCAGTGGCAGGTGCTTTGTTTTAGCAATCCATCCCCAGCCGGCGCTGAGGCTGAAGCAGAGCCGAGGCTGGGATCACTGGAGAATCTGCAGATCTTTCCCAATCGCTGTTTCAACCAGCAAGAAACGAAAAAAAAAAAAACGTTGCACTTTTTCCCAGTTTCTATTCTACCCGGTTTGTTCTACGGTCATATCGCCTGATTTTTTCTTGGTACCCGTTTTTTTTGCAAGTTTCGCAGCTTCAGTGCACAGTTACATCCAAGAATTGCCATTGGATCAGTGGTTCTACCATGTTCAGGCCCGAGGCAGACGAGGTGGGACTGCTTGAAACCTCCAGGGTTTGGAGTGGATAATTACTTGACCATCCTTGTTTCACCATGGTCTGTCGGCAACTGGTCCACTGCTGTCAACAACTCGGCGCTTGCTGAACGCAGGCGGAAACCACACGGGTCGACGCAGAGACTGAGGGAACGGATGCACCCGGTAGACACACAGAAAACTTGGCTTGAGACCAACGATGCGTTGTGCTACACCACCCTTCCCCCAAAAACAAAACACCCCCCAGAAACGATGGGTACTTGGAGATGAAATCACATGGCTATGGATCAATACCTATGAAAATACCATTTTTAGTGGGATGAACATCCATAAATCCCAGCTATTTTGATGTGAACTACAGGGGTACAAGGTTTTGACACACTGCCACATATTGACCATATTCACCATCAGGTGTTGATTTTTTGAATGGAGGATATCGTGTTGCCCCCACCTCACATGACCTCGCCACCGAGTTGTGATGACTTTCCATGACTTTCCAACACAGCGAAGATTACTGGTTGCTTCCAGTCTGATAATTTAGGTTGGCTGGATCTAGTTAAAATTGGATAATTATTGGATAATTAATGGATGATTAATGGAAGGATTTTGATTTGGCTGACTTTTTGACCTAGAGACGATACACGAACTGTCATGGCACATTTGGAGCAACCAAAATACCCATCCCTATCCAAAACGACTTTGGGCAACCCGCCCAGATCTCCCACTCCCTCAATTCCTCGGACGCCTGTACATAGCGATTGCAGCTGGCTGCCAGTCTGAAAGAGGAGGGCACCATGAATATCTCAATCTGCTTACATTTGGGTGAAGGTTGGTATGGTTGGTTCATGGCTTCCAAGAATGGAAGAATGTGATATCCATCGCCAAGAGATCCTTTTCTGTGGAGTGTCGCTGAGCCATGGAATCTTGGGAGGCAAAGTTCCCTGAAAAATGCGTTCCAACTTCAGAACCTCCCAAAACCAAAACTATGAGATTCTGCAACCATCTCAACATATCTCAAGAAAAATTGGGTGAAACATGGTGGAACGACCACGGTATTGATATCTTACAGCCTACAGCCGAGGAAGATTTGACCGTTTTCAGGTCGGCAGCTGCCGCGACCGCCGCGATGCCGCGAAAAGCCACGGCTCAGTGCATGTCAAAAGGGGATGACCGAGGACCCAGGATAAATCAGGTGATTATCAGGATTCTGATTGTTCATGATTGTCCATTATTCATCATGGTTAACCATTATTAACCATTATTACCCTCTGGTAAATGAACTTGTTGACCCTGAAAATAGCCTAGTTTTTTATGGTTTCACTCATCAACAAAACCCCGATGACTGCCAGGGTCTATGTTAATTTACCAGAGGGTACCAACAAAACTATAGGCATCATAGTATACTATACTACAACTAAAGATCCAACTCATCAAACAATACCTGATTAAAAAAATGACCAATGAAGATTGTTTTGAGGGATTAGTAACTTCCCAGCAAAGGTTTAAAAAAAGGAATATATTATGATAATTCACAGAAGTATTCACAGTTCTACAAATTGGAAAGTTGCTTTACCTGACCCAGCGAAAAATTCGTCACCCTGTCAGGTTGGAGACTCCTGCAACCAGAAGGCGGTGGACTGCGAGGCGGCAACTGAGGTGATCCAACTGGTGAAACAACTGGTGAAGGGTGTATAATGTGGGTATGTGGGTAAAAGAATGTCATTTTTACAACCCATATTTTAATATATTTTAATGGTTTATAGCACCTATAAAAATGGTGACTGGGGGATGGTGCAAATGGCACTGTTTTAACCACATTATAGTTGCTTATAGAACTTCATCGTTTTGCCAATTTGATGAGGATAGATAGGATAGATCAGTCCGACCAATAGACTAAGATTGGGGATATCTCCCGGGTTGGCAATGGAAAATTTCACAGCAGTTGGGTTGTTTGGTGATGCATCAATGTACAATGATAGGTCATTTGCATATTGTACCAAAATATGTTGATATCCAAGTCGAATGACATGTTTCTTCAATGACCTAGCAATTCTTTCTCTGGATTCAAGGCTATTCTCAGCATCCTTTGGTGAGGCAATTCACCCTTCATCTCCCACCCATCCGAGGGCATCATCCGGAGCACTGCGAAGCATATCTTGACGGAGCGCGGAAACCGAGTTCTCCGTTGGTGCTGCGGTAGAAAACGGCGACCTTACTGGGACCTATGGTACCGGAAGTCATCAAAGGTGGCTGGGAAAATCATCGAAAATGAAAAAATGTTCCAGCCATGTTTGATGACACCGGAGGGTAGGTGTTTAGGGAGGGTTTTGATGGTTTTTGTGGGATGATAAAAAAAGCCACTTTCACCAGGAAATGTGATTTTTCTCCCACCCAGTGAGAAGGAAACCAAATGGTGCAGCTTGTTGTTGGCGACCAAAATCAAGCCTGGAAGCTTGGGCCAAGAAGAGGAGCAAAATCCTATGCACCCAGGCTTTTCATATGGTCCAATGATGTCCAATGATGTCCAATGCACCATGCTGATCGGCCGAGGTTTGGAACTTGGGATTCTCCAGATCTGCGGGACTACAGGAGCCAATTTTTGTCCAAAAAGTCGATTTTCCAGATGTGATTTCACAAAGGACCCGTTACGAAATCTGCATTTTTTTTGGTGTTGATGAAGATAAATATTTTCCGGTTCGAGGATTTTTGTTTGACGGTTCTCAGTCTATTCATTCTGCTGAGGGGCAGCCATCTGTCGCCTTTCAGGATGACAAACTTTTCAAACTCCGGACGCTGTGATGGTGCTCTGACGCACAACCTGCAGCCCAGGAGTGTAAAATGATGGGCCCCGATCCCAGTCATAAATGGGTTATTCATTCCTGTTCAGGTAGATAACATGACACCCTTGTCAATTTGCAGATTTTGGAGCTCATTTACATCGATTGTAACTTGAAGTAGCCCATCACAGGTGGGCATGACCACAAAGAGAGGTGTACTACGGACCCATCTGATGAAGCACTTGGTTTTCTGGGGTTCACTTAAAAGTTTAGACAACGAAGGCAAAGGCATACTCCACGCAATAAGATGAAAATTGTAGATGTCGGCAAATTATCCGATTTTGGATGGGAGATTTTGGTGGATACGAATACTCACCTTTGGATGATTGGATTTGATCTAGAATTTGGGTGATTTGGGTGATGTTTCCATGGGAAAATTCATCACGACCTGCCGGTGCAGTTCCAAAAGTGATTTCACTTAAGAAAATGCTCGGAGACATCCATGAAATTGGAGATCTTTCTTCAGAATTCATTAAGATATACTGATGTGTATTATATATATATACATACATGCATGCATGCATGCATGCATACATGCATCCATGCATCCATATATATACATACATACATACATACCTACCTACCTACCTACATACATACATACCTACCTACCTACCTACATACATACATACAGACAGACAGACAGACATACCTACATTCCTACCTACCTACATACCTACATACATACATACCTACCTACCTACCTACATACATACATACATACTTACCTACCTACCTACATACATACCTACCTACATACATACATACATACATACTTACCTACCTACCTACATACATACCTACCTACATACATACATACATACATTTACAAATATATATATATATTATTAATATACTTCACCCAGTAAGATTGACCAGCAACTTTCTATCCCATTGGTGTCCCAAGGTTGCTTGGGAACCTGTGGCAGGTACGTCTGATTGCTACGTGCTCGGCACTCGTTCCATTCAGCTGGATGCACAAACCAGGCGCCCTCCTCAATGGGAGAAGAATTGAGTCTGCTCTTGGTTTTTGGTTTCAAAGTTCTGGCTCTGGGCTAATTCTCGATGTTTGATACAATTTCTCCATTTGGGGTGTCTTAAAATGGAGAATCCCCCAAAACCACGGGTTTCAATACTAAAATGGTGTCCATGTTGGGAAAAATCCATTTGCGTTGATGAACTTCTGCCGTTTTGAACCGAAGTCCAGGTGGCTGGCCGTTGCAGTCGTGCCATCTTCTAGCTTCACAGGAAACGGCGTCGCTGGGCAAAAAGATGCCCCAGCAAAATCATCGAAAATGGGGAAAAAACTCCAATTGCTATGTTTAGTTGAAGAAAATTTGCCAGTCCGTCCAGTCGTCATCATAAGAAATGTTGTCAGGGACGAACAAAAGAATGTTCAAAGATTACAAAAGAATCATTTCGTAAGTGCTATAGCTTTGCAAATTGGCCCCGCAAAGCCACCCATCTCGTTCATTACTCTAGTGATCCACCAGTGAGAGTGAAGTGGTTGAGCCAAATTACCCTGGTGCGAGCCCGAGTGTTACGAATTCAATCAAGATGTGTGTTGGTCAACTGAACATGTTTCCATAGGTTCATCAGCTGATTCAAAGTCATCACCTGTTTCATGGATTAAGTCTGACTAAGTCATGTTAAATCCAAAGAAAATGATCCAAAGATGTTTCACCCTTGGCCATCAACAAATCGTGCCATCGTGCCAAGGCAGAGCAAGATGCCAAGATTGCAGCCAAGGAACGCGACATGGCGGGCCATCGAAATATTGGGCCCATCGGGTGAAAGCCACAGCAATCATCACCAATATACATGTTTGATATGTGGCTATGGATCAATACCTATACATATTAGTGGGATGAACATCCATAAATCCCAGCTATTTTGGGGTTCACTAGGGGTACCAGGGTTTTGACCCATCCCCATGTTTGATTCATTGATGATTTTTCTAGACGGTTTTTTTTGGGTTCTGCCAGGTGACATTCCTAGGTTCAGCGTGGCAAATCTGTGCTGGCAGAGCCAGCGAGGATCATTCCAGGTGTGTTTCTGAAAAATTCCAAGTGTGGCAAAAATACCAAGCGTACTACCCGGGTTGTGTTCATAGAATCGAAAAAATTCATGGCCATGAAATACGCAGGTTTTTACGACATCAAATCATAAGATGCCCGCCTCGAGCCTGTCCAGATGGCCTCGATTGACGCTTCCACGCAGATCCTTGATCAGGCTGGGCTTAATGGAGGGGTTCTAAATGATTGTTGATATTTAATTCTAAATGATATATGTTGATATTACTTAATGTTCAGGTGTTCAGGGTCCATTTCATTACCTTCAATCGGGTTTCGGATTATGAATCATGCAGATAGGCATCAATGATCTGGGGCGAAAGTTTGCTAGAATTGTGAATTGAAGCAAGAGGAAGTCTGTTGCTCAAAGGGCGTCGCTAAGTCTTAGATCTGAGACCTACCTAATATTCTTTGACAAGAAAACACTCTATAGGTACCATGGGCTTTCTATTAAGGATTGTCACTGACTAGAATGTCTGTACAAAGTGGGCCCCGCAGACGGGCAAATTAGATTACAACTGTTTACAAGTCCAATAGGTATGGTTTATGATTCTTATAACTATGTATAGATGACTATAGATGACTATAGATAACTGAAGTACTTTTATTTTTATCAACCAGCAGTTACATCATGGGTCTATCACAACAGCCTTGCCAGCCCAGGCACGAGCCAGAGGTCGAGATATCCTCCTGGCCAGGGATCCTTGGGATCCTTCGAGAGCGCCGGGGGGATCTCATCATGAACCATGTGAAAGAACCGCTAGTTGGTTTTCGATCATCTGCTTTATTGGGGATGCGGATCACCAACCGGTGAATAGTGGTGAATCATGGTGAATAATGGTTGATAATGAGAAAATAATATATAATAATGGGATGATAATTAATTATCCATAATTATCCCATTTCTGATCATGGAAACATGCCCTGGTATCTCGTGGGAGTGTGGGTCTATGTCGTACAGAATAGGAGGCAACTTGTCTGAAAGGCCTACACCCATCTTGATGCCTACACGTAAATATAGGACCTGCACATAGAGGTGTAAATATTCAGTGATCAAACAAATGCATATATACATATATACATATATATATATACATATATACATATGTGTATATATATATAGTTAGTGTTATTTATGTGTCCCTCATGGCATCTTTGCACCGTGACCCATCTGCCTATTGTAATTGCTGCCTCCCAACTTCAGGTCATGAGCATTTTGAGCATCGCCGCCTCCCTGCTGTTCGGGCGTTTGGTGTCACAGCCCTTGAGGCCCTGGAGTCGTCGCAGGAAAAACCCCCATGGGATGGGTCCCATATGGCCCCGAGATCTTCCCCATCCCCCGTGGTGTGGTGGGGGTGTGGTATGGTATGTTGGGTATGTATGGTAGGTATGGTATGAATGGCATGAATGGCTGGTATTGTATGGATGGTAAGTATGGTATGTAAGTCTGTTGGGTATGGTATGTTTGATATGACAGTATGTATGGTCTGTATGGTATGTATGGTTACTATAATGGGTATGGAATGTTTCCTATGTAAGGTAGGTATGGTATGTATGGCATGTATGTTTGTTTGCACCAACTTGGCTATCGTTCCGGGGCACTGTGTAAAAAAGAGGATGTCAGCACTGCCAGCGCTGTCTCAGCACCAAAAGTGAGGATGAGGCATTTGAAACTTGGGATATATATGGATATATAAGAATGTTTTCTTTGCAAGTACTGCATCAACTTCCAACACCGGTATTGAGGATCAATGGGTGTTCCTTGGCCTCAATTGCTGCCGAAATCTGTGGTTCCAAGTGATTTTCCAATCTGGTGACCCACACCACAATCTGGTGACACTCAATCTTCAGGAAGACGGTCTTGTTGAAACTCGCAATCTGGAGGAACCAATTCTTAACCCCTTCCTCTGCTATACTAGGCCTGTGCAATTCAAGAGTGGATGGTTTGAAATGACAAGACTAGTCCTTACTTTGGTCAATACCAAGATCCGACAGTTCAAATATGTTGGTCGGTACACTGCATGGAACTTAGGCCACAAAATCATGCATTAAAATCCTGGCGATTCTTCACCTCCCAGGATTTAGATCCTAGCGAGACCCGTGGCGCAGGCATTTAACTGAGACCATGATGAGATTGGGTGAATTGGATTTTACAGAGTGGCTGAGCTCAGTTGGGCCAAAAATCACTGGCCAAAGAGAGCAAATTGCTGCTTTCCTTCAAGCTGTGTGTGTGTGTGTCAAGTCGGCCAAAATCTAGTTGGGTTGTTTCACATTTTCACATCCTGTTGACTTGTCATCATGATGTTCCATGATTGAAGCCTCAACTGACAAGCACATTTTGAGTCCCGGTGGCTCAATCACAAACCCAATAGAATTTGTTGAGACACCATTTTTTTGTGGTAAATATCCCAGTTTTTGGTTAGCGATGTCCCACTTACACATTGCTTGTTGCATGGTTGAACCTACCCACCAAGTAGTTGTGAAATTTGTTTCTTGGTTCCATAGCATGTTTGATCACAGAATGTGCTTTGAGTTGATTTTTCCAGCTCAGATCACCACTTTTTTTGGTTCCTTTTCCAATCACTTAACGCTTTGCGAAGTGAAAAAAACCTCCATTTTTAGGATTACCCTGTGGTTATGACTCACGTAGCGAACTGGAAAATCACCATTTTGAAGAGGTAAATCATCATGGGATCAATGGGCCATGGTGTTTCACCGGGTGAGGTCATCCTTGATCCTCGATATCCGTCGAAACAGCAGGAGACCGGGATGGCGGGATAGCCACTGAGTCCCAGATCAATTCATCGACGACTACTCTCCACATCATATCAACAAAAGAAGTCATATTTTTTATAGCTCATGTTGGAAAACTATAGAGGCTTTCCTTTACTGAGTCAAGTTGAACAGTTACCGAAGGGTATATATTAGCCTATAGAACTGGGCAGGCCAACTGGCAAATCGTTGGTTTGGTTGAATGTTTCGGGCAAATTATGGAGAACTTGTACAACATCCCAAATGACAGGTCAACAGAATTTGGTTCTTCTGGGTGGTTCTGTTTGCCATCCATCGGCTCTGGCATGACGATGAAGACCTATTGATAGGTTATTGAAGTGAACTTGGAAAATCTAGATGTCCACACGTCTCTGACTCCCTGTGATTCCCATTCCTTTGGATCCAGAATGGTTTCCAGAGGCGTGTTCGAGTTCGGGAAGTTTTAAATCTTCAGCTGGCGTCCGAATGCCCCAGCCGGAAGGGATGGAGCTGAAACCTGTCAGGGGGATGGATCGCTAGATCATGTTACATCCCATCAACCTGGGTTCCATATATGGGGGATCCCCAAAAATGGATAGTTTATTTCATGGAAAATCCAAAGATAAAATGGGATGATAACTAAGGGTACCCCCATTTCAAGAAATCTCCATATGCTGGTTGATGGTTTCGATCTGTATTCTCGCCATCTCTACATAGAAACATGCCTCCAACACGCTCGAACTGTGACTCCTGTTTTTTCGGATACGACTTGATGCCCGTGGCGACCCTTGTCATGGGTGCCATCCAAATTTTAGCCATTTTGGAGATCAAACCTGGCGCGACTGTGCCCGGCTGTGCTAATGATGGAGCAAGTGATTCTGCACTTTTCGGTGAAGAATACTTTCCTTGACGTTCGCCCTCTTGAGGACGAGATGTAGCAAGTGTCATTCTGAAGATCTGATGTCTTTACTGCTAGATTCTTAGAATCTATCGGAAGAATACGTAGGATATCTATCACGAATCTGTAAGACAACCAAGCGATTGCAGAGTGTACGAAACTCGATGAAACTCCTTTTCTTTGGGTCGTTGGGCCGAGACAATCGCGACTTGGCAACCTGTGCCTTGTTGAGGACGTTCCCCCGATTCCACGGAGAAAATCCTGGAGCTCGGGGGATACGGGGGATCCCACGGAATTCATCCTCGGTCTCTCCAAGGTCGCGAATGGACAGGAGGTTACCCAGGAGGTTACCCAGGAGGTTACCCAGGAGGCCCAGAATCTGCCAGAGATCCACGAAGATCAAAGCCCTAGCCAGATGCTGGCAAAACATCGCACTGGTAGATGCAAACCATGCGTGTCTGGGTGATTGTTTAGAATTGTTTAGAGTCATACAGTCATACAGTCATACAAGGCTTTATTTTTTGGTTGCTCAGAAAATAACAGCGACTTTACTCAACATGTTTAAGAAAAGGCTGAAGGTTTAGCTGGCAATCAGCAGATCAGCAACCTCGATGAGCTATGCAGCTATGACGACCTCACTGGTTCATGTTGCCATGGCCAGATGTGTTAGTAACTCAGCCAAACCCAGGTGTTTTTTGCAAGCGTTCATGGATGCCCGGATGCCGCATGCAGTTTCTGCCACTTGGCTCATCGACCTCCTCCGAAGCAGCGACCGGAAAAGCAGCTGCGGAATGTGTTCAAAGCGGCGGTGCAGACGGTCTTTCAGATGGAGGACGTGACAAGCCAAACGAAAGATTGAAATGATGGCATTGATGGCTTTTTCCAGGGGAACTCTCCCAAAATGGTGAAACTTTTCAGGTGACATATTGTTGAATTTGGACTGATATGGCTCTCTGGAAATGGCATGGGTCAATCGATAGTTTCAATCAGCTCTCCATCGGGTGAATACATCTATGTAAGCTGGCTCATCTATTCGTGAGGGTTTTGCCCCATCCCCCAGTTTTTTTTGAGGGGGAGCTGTACACTGTTCCAGCTGTCACATGTGTTACTGAAGTTTCATAGGCCATGATGTTCTGGATTCTCATGGGTAGTGGATGCAGTGAAGGCTTGTGAATGCTGTTTCTGATTCCACACTTCGTTGTACCATGGACACGATGGAGACGAAAAACAGGTACCTGGTTTCCTATCAGTTCGGACGACCCAAAAAAAATTGCTAGTTGTCCCCATCGAAATTAGATTACAAACGCTGCTTTAGCACAGTCGCCATTCGCTGAATAAACATCCGAGGTTTTTTCTGATTTCTGCAAGACAAAAACTAGAGGACCACCAAGCGTTGCGCCTGGCCCTGAAAAACTTGGCACCGCAACACCCTTACTTGCACTGGTACATCATCGGACAGATGGACATGTGTTTCGGCAAAAAGCAGATAGAATCTGCCAGAAGGTCATTGTTATTCACTGTTCGATTTTTGAGGGTTTTATTTCTGTTAGTTTGATAGGTCACCGCTGGATTTTTCGGGGGTCAAGATGTGCTGTTTACCTGGAGGTATTCACAGCGCGTCGTTGCCAGCCGCGAGCTTCATTGACAGATCGCCGCGAGCTTAGGGTTTGACTCGTTTGACGATTGTCTCAGGAAGTCTCCAGATCGCGGAGGTTCAAAGTTTTGTGGCCCTTCGGTGCTTAGTCGGACAAGAATGAAGCTTCATAACCCTCATAGCCTTCAATCATTTCAATCTCCAGTGGAAGGTTGATGAACTTGGGGTTGCCAAAATATGGTGCACCTGCAAGATCCTGCAAGTCTTTTGAATTGACTAAGGCATCTGTTAGAAATGAGGCTTTCCGAAGGTTGGCCGTTAGTCCGCCAACAGTGGCGTTGCCGAAAAGGCCGTCGCTGATGGTGTGGTTTGCTAAGCTATCCCATGGGTCTTGTTGGGGACCGTGGAGAGGCTTTCCCTGACAATGACAGACATCCTTTCCCTATCAACTTCCAAAGGCATTGGAAATTTCCGTTGGGGAAGCTTCCTGGGTGCCATCAGATGCCATCAGTTTCGAGGCTGCCCGATCCTTTTTGCTACCTCTTAAGACATGATACGGCTGGAGCATTGAAAAAAAATCAATGAAAATCAGCTGTCCATTGAGATGTGGGGATGGGTCAAACCTCTGGTGCCTAGTGAACCCCAAAATAGCTGGTAAATGGATGTTCATCCCGCTAAAAATGATATGAATATTGACCCATACCCATGTGGCTGTGCGACGGGAGCGGTACCTCATCCAAACGGGCGATCCTGCGCGCCGTCGCCGCAGAGCCCTGTTCGATCAGAGGGTCAAAAGCTGGAGCTGCCTGGAGTAATCTAAGGTTCCCCCTTTTATCGATGTATAATATGTTATTAATAATATAGATGTATCCAATACTCTATATATATATATATATGTACTACCGAGAGAGAGAGAGAGATACATATGTATAGATGTAATACATAAAGTGTATGTGTATATATATATATATACGTGATATCTTTTATAGATGTAATATATGTACATGTATATCTACTTTACCCATTGTCGTTTGTTGCGTCTCATTCTTGGTGCCCGTCATCGTTGTCTCTGGAGTGTCATTCTTTCTACCCAATGATTTTGTTGCTGAATTCACCATGTGCCATTGAAGGTCCATGGCTGACTTTGAACTCCCCAAACTTCATCCATGACCATGACCCAAATTTTATGAAGATGTGTCCTTTTCTCCAACAAACTTCTATGTTTCACTTTGTGGCATTGTGGATGATATTCGCCTAAGATCTCCAATACCACTACCTTTTTCGATCCCTCGGTCTCAGACTATCGAGATCTCCCAATAGGCTGTTTGCCCCAAGTCATCGCACTTTTCAAGATACTTTTGGAAAAATAGTCCGACTTCCAAACCATGAGGATTTGGGGATACCGCCATGTCCTGCAGGTTCTGCCGCCTGGCACGGGGCATCAGCACCTTCGCGCGCTTCGTCCCAGAGACGGTGGTTCGGATGGCCCAGTGTTTCTGTCATGGGGACGTTCCGTTGGTGTCATTGTTGTCATGGAGATACCCCACGGATCATCCATTTCATCCATTTTTTGTTGGGATTTGATGGCATTGTCCAATTTGTTGTTGGGATTTTAGTTCGGATTTTCCAACTTGTTGTTCGGATATTTGTGCGGATGTTCCATTTGCAACCATCCATTTTGAGGAAAAAAAATGTAAATCATCCATTACACTTTGTTGGGAATTTCCATGAACTAAACCAGCTACTAAAGCACCCATTATGATTTGGAATTGTCCATGAAATAAACCATCCAGCTGTTGAGGTACCCCCATTTAGTACCCCCATTTATGGAAACCATCAACTGGGCGAGTGACCGGCAAGAATTGGTGAAATTACAGAGATTACAGAGATGATGACCCGTGAAAGTAGAATTTGGAAAAGATGTTTGGCAACAGCTGGGATTTTCCTTGTGAATTTGGGAAATGAACAGAACAAACAGCTGTTTGGATCTGAATATCGGACCAGGAATTTGATCCGTGCTGGATGAGCAATAGATAACCAGTGAGGATACACATGTGGAACAACACTTTGAATACAAACAATGATAGCTACGATTTCTAGGTGGTTTCAATCTTGCTTTTGCTTTACAAAAAACTCGACGATTTTCCCGATGCTCGATGTTCCGATTTTCAGCACCAAGGTTCGCAACATCGTGATGAATGGCGAGGGGAAGGGGACCCGCCTTGAGGTGCGGCATTTTTCATAGATAGATGGTAAATTGGTAAATGGATGTTCGAATATTTTGGAGCCAAGGCTTTCTGAAAGCTTTTGCAAAAATGAATAAAAATGATCCCGGATTCATTGCCCACCATGCACGCAGGTTTCCAGACGCATGGTCACAATTATGCCCATGCCTCGGGCAGCAAATGTTGATGCCTTTTGGAGTAACAGCGTCTTCCCCCATCTTTCACTATACCAGAGCCCCTTGTTGAATGCCTGAGCCCAACAAACTGTAGGTTGAAATCGGGAAATCCCAACAAGCCACTTCTAAGCATCATAATCTTTCACCATCAATAATCACTATAAAAACCATTGTTAACTACTATTAATCACCACTAACCATAGAACATCTTGGGGAATTTTATGCCCTTCGAACCATCGAACCGAGGTGCACGGACATTAAAGGCTTCACCAGCATCTCTGAACGATTGCGACCGCACCCTGGCCGCCATGGCCACCATGGCCCGGCAACGGTGGAGTTCCATCGGTTTTTTCAATGGGAAAGCCCCGGAGGGAAAAATCATTGAACTATGGCGGATTTTCCACAAAAGCTTGGCCAAATTGAGGGTAAACCGCAAAAATCCGTGGATGAACTTGTGACTAATCTTGAGTGTGGATTTCATACCAAACTGAGCAATAGCCAAGAGTTCAGTCACCTCGGAAAACTCTTCGGACTGACTCTGTTAGTTATATATATATATTCTTATTTTGGCCACATTTTTTAGCTCACCTTGGCCTTGCTACCAAATTACTTGGCGCGCTCCGAAGCATGTTTTTAGCGTGTCTGAGCAGCTCTAGAAGCTGTTTGTATAGTTGTTGTCAAGCCCTTCACTGGTGAAGGGAAGACACAAAATCAATCAAGATCTAAAATGACATCAGCCATATGACGGTCGCTGCTATCTCATATCCATGTGTTGAACATCAAGGTGCAACACCCAAGGTATAGCTCCAAAGTTCAGGCCCTAAACCTGCAGAGTTTTGCTATTTTTGATGTGAAACCATCCCAACACATGGACGAAACTTGCCCTGAACCCATCTTTTCTTCAGCAAAATCTGCCACCGTCCGAGGCGTGACCTGCTGTACATGCTCATGCGATACTTTTCGGTGCGCCTGGCACTAGCAACGGAGATTGCCATTTTGTTGGATGATAGAGCCATGGAAATCCCCGAATGTTGAGATGATGTTCCGTGTTTTCCTGTTGAACATGGAGAAGTTCCTTTGCTGTGTCTGGATGGGGCGATGGGGGAGGTCCCATGGATGACCCCCCTTTTTTGGGGCACCGGTCGAAACATCTTCAGATTTCGAAACATCTTCATATGTCCCAATTCCAATAGATTGTCAGTTTCCCTATTGAAATGGCCACCTCTGTATCCCCTTCAGAGAAAGTCAAATACATGGCATCGCTGTTCAGGTCATGATGCGTGTAGTGGAGCTCTATGGAGGTGCACTTTGTCGATGCTGAAGCTGGTGGTAAAAAAAGCCCCAAAATTGCCCAAAAGAATAGGGAATATGATGAGTGACCAATGGATTTTAGGAATACGCCATCAAAAGCCAACAAATATCTATACTTGGATGGACTGATACGCCAATTTTTGAAACCCGGCGGCCTGTTCTTGCGGGATTTTGGGTTTCTCTTGGGCTTCCAGCTGTTGAATTTCAGGGGTCATCGCCGCTTTCCGAAGCCCCCCCGGTGTAAACGGATCTGATTTTTCATACAAGGGAAGAATCCCATGGGTCAATCAGCACCCTTGTGATTTCCAGATGTTGCAGGGTTAAACATCACTTGCGGTGGTAAAATAGAAGTGTTTCGACCAAAAAGTTATGTTTATCAAGTGATGAAAAGGAAGGCAGGCAAAAACACTATTGGTCAACCAGGGGTTCGTATGCTTCTCAATTTTGGTGGTTTCTAACATCACTTTGGTGCTAGAAAGCGTGGTTTCCTCCCAAAGTGATGTTTCTTGCAGAAATATGAGGCTAGAGCTTCAAAATCATTGAAAAAAAAGATGATTCAAAAAATTGCCTAATTAAGTCTACTCAAAATTCAACATTTTTCAATGTCGTGGGTCCATGATCCCTTAGGTCGCCAGGCAGAATTCTGTCAGGTATTGTGTTGGAGATCTTGGGCGATGGTCTCATCGTGTTTTGGAACGCACCTGACACGGTGCGGGAGCCCACTTTTCGGATCCAACTGGAGTCCTGGTTAATTGTGGATATGGATGGGATAAATCATCTATAAATCTTATAGATAACTATGGATATAGCCTCTAACCTCCAAATAGAGCTGCGTTTTGTCATACCCCAAATCATCCAGTCGTCATGGACATTTGAGCTGAGGGGAGCCATGGGCCAAGGTCGAAGATCATCCAGGTAAAGCTTGTGCAGCAGCGCTCACACAACTTGAGGTGATCTGGGAGGGTAGAGAGCAGAGGCCTGATCAAAATCTCAGGAAAAATATCGAGATACCCAGTAGATCCCTGTGGAATCTAGGAAACAAGACATAGCCAGAAGTGCCCAAGAAAACCATACAATGTGGGTAAAACAATAATAAACCACCCATTTGGGATGGATTTTATACCACCTAATGATGGTGATTTGGGGGATGGCCCATATTAAACAAATAGAAAGTGATATTGACATCAGTGACCATCCAGAACTAGGATCTCGTGCCAGCAAGCCAACCAAACTGATACTAGAAATGGTAAGAAACTTCAGGGGATGTTATATGAGTGGTTAGCCCCTTGGAAACTCTGAGGAGTTGTCGTTTTTGCTCCAACTGCCGGTTGGATAAGGGACCGCTGAAAAAATCAGCACAGATATCATAAATATCTTGACCCTTACAAACATAAGCAGCAACAATATATGGGAAACCGTTGATTCAAATGTTGCATCACTAAAGCGCTGCCAGGTTTTTTTGATGATTTCAAGTACACAAAAACAACAGATGAAGCCTTCCTATGGGTCGCAGGGGTCGCACGGGACGCAGGCCCTTTCAGGCTTGAATGGTGAGTACGGCGTGTATGCCACTGGGCCCAGTCGGGATGATATCTCCGTTGATCCCGAAAAAGTGCGACATTTTTTTCTACAAGTGAAAGGATACTATTTGGGATACCCAAATCCCAAATCGCTATGGATTTCCATTTGTAGCTATGGAATGCTATGGAATGCTATGGAATGCTATGGAGCTCAGTTTTAGTTCGAGATCTCCCAAGACTCCCAAGCTGAGGAGCTCCCAGAGCTGTCGATTCGCATTGGCATCCACACAGGGTGCCTCCTGGTTGAGCATGGTAATCCCACGAAAGAAATGGCGGAAGTGGAGATCATGGCACGCAACCTACTTGTAAGTGTCAAGATGTAGGATATAGATGCCCTAATCACAAACAATTTGTTACAATCGTTACAGTAGCTTAAAATCATCCAGTTGTAACTCGGATTTGGCCTTAGATGGAGTAATAGCTATGGTTATAGACAAGTTACGCAGCGGATAAACTAGTTGGGGCACGTACGAACCAGGGATGTAACCAGAGGTCGTTGGATCCGGTTGCTGTTTTCGAAATAAGTTCCAGAAACTGGGACCACGAATTATCTGGGAAATGCATCCATTAAAACCAAAGGATATGAACTACAGGATTGATGAGTGCATCTTTGATGATATGATATCAACTAACACAATCATCAAAAATATCAACTATGGCATATGGGGCTGGTTGAAATACATTGAAACTCCAGGAAAACTCTTCAATTCAACGGTCGGTGAAGCTCTTTTTTCATGGTGACTTTCCCCAGCATCTCGCCCAATGGCCCTGGAACCCTCGGGTGTTTCCAACTTCAGGTCGTTATATTTTTTGACATGTCGTAAGGGTGAATGGTGATTCATGTAGTCCCTTATTTGATGAAAGAAAAACTATCTTCAAACATCCACAGATCGACCACGTTCACAACATGTGTAACTTGAAGAACCTATACCCTCTGGTAATTTAACATAGCTATTGAAAATGGCCATTTATAGTGGATTTTCCCATTAAAAATGGTGATTTTCCATTGCTATGTTAGTTTACCAGAGGGTATCCCACCAAAAAGCCATCAATATCCCCATCTCTTCAGCCACGAAGCCAGGTCCAGCTTAGTGGGCAACATTGGAAGTGAGTCGCACCTCGGAACGATGGAAAAGCCTACCAAAAATTCATGGTAGATTTTAGATATTTCGTGGTTTTTGAATGGTAAGTTTGATGGAAAATCCATGTAAATCTCATGTTTTTGCCATGTTTTGCCTCCGCCATCCTGATCATCCTGGCATTTTCGGTGGCCACCAAGGAGGATGAAGTATGGATGTCCAACACCCGGCGGTGGGTTGGTTCAACCAGTGCTGGTGGGTCCGAACCAGGTAGCAGAAGATGTCCTTTTCATCACCAAGGGATCAACAAGGTCACATATCAGATCATGTTTCAGCTTAACGTTTACAGACATGTTTTTCTACACCTACAGATTAGGCAGTTTATCAGGTATGCAGATGCCATTTCTGCCATTTCAGATTCGATCAAGCTTCGATGTGATTCAAGCTTCGATCGCCGAGGTTTGGGCGATACCAAGCAGGTCGCCATGAAATTAGAGGCACCTCTCGGGGGAAAGAGTGACACTAGAGGCGAGCACACAAAACAGGGACATCGGGAGAGTGTTAGCAATCCCTGGTGGAGAAATTACAACACTGCCGTCCTGGGATGTAGATGGACATCAATTGCAGGACACGCGATGCGCTTTCAACGCTGAAAGAGCGCCAATTCTATGGCAAGTGTTTGCAAAGCATAGTGCTCTCATTTGCCATGGATCCTTTACATGAACTTTTCATGGCTGATATGTTTGCTGTGACTTTGGGTATCGTCCGGGAGTTTCAGTCCAGACATCATCATCATCACCATCACCATCATCATCACCATCATCGCTACTCGAAGATTTGAGATCTGTAATACCTCGTCTGTCTCTGAAAGTTGCAGGGGATAGCCCAGCGTGCGGCCGCAGGATCTCTGCAAGTACTATGGGGTCGACGTTATTTGTTGGACACTGAGTCAAGAGGCTCCAGCAGTGCTCGTGAACACCTCCCTGGTCCTGCTTCGAGATGTTTTCCATTGCTACTTCCAATGATGGCTGACCGATGCCTGTGATGTTGGCTAGAAGAATCTCTTGAGTTGTTTGCATGGAGACTTTTGTGAAATGAATGATGGCCGCAACTTCTACTTCCAAACAAGAATGAGTATTTATATTTATCAGGGCACAACGCTCAGAAGAGGTTTTCCCAGATCCGTGATCAAATCCAAGTAACATGCCCACTTTGGAAATTCCTTCTTTTTTCTCTAATCCCATTGGCCTGATTGGATCTATGTTGTTTGCGCCTCACTGCAACAAGTTGCTGTTTGATTGTTTGATTGTTTGTAAATCTTGTCATGTTCGAATAGTTCATATCTCATGATTCATTTCAGTTGTTATCATTGAACTGGCCAAGCAGATTATGAAACTTTGATCATTACATTGTGTCATATTCATTCATGTGATGGTTGTTTTAGATATAGCTATGTATACAATGATATTTAAAAAAAAATCTGTGTGCATCAGCTGAAGCAGCAAGAACCGCATCACGACAAGTTGTCATGAGGTTCCAGCAGCACAAAGAACATGACCATCCCGAGCAGATTTTTCTTCAGGGAGCTCGACTACGTGCAGGCACGACTTCGACGACTTCTGGGACGAATCATGGCAATGCCGGTGATCATATACCCTCTGGTTATGACTAACATAGCCATGGTATAGATGGCCCATAGAAATAGATGGTTTACCTAATAAAAATTGTGATTTTCCATGGCTATGTTGAATAACCAGAGGGTAGATGTTATATAGAAAGGATCCACAACTGGATACATTTTCAGAATACTGCAATGCAGTACTGCAATGAAATAGCGGGCTTTTGGTAGGATCATGCACTGGATAGTAGCTGCTGCTGGAGATCGTGAGTCTCCATGACTATACTGGAGTTCTCCCGTAACGGGGCAGAAGTAGGGTTACTAACCATCTACTAAGCAGGATGATCTTCATTCCAAGTAGCCGCTGAGAATGGCGCGGAAATCTATGCCTTTCAGGAAAATCATCGCAATTCAATTTCCACAAGATGTGCATGTTTCATTGGTAGATTGGGAATTGACGTAAGTTCAAGTGCGATGCTTGTTGCCAGGTTATAAAATCAGCTTGGGGATCCACATGTGCTTGGATGTTCACATGATGGCATTTTGCAATCAACAAACCGGCCCTGAAAAACTTTGCAGTTTAGTGGACACCTCAAGCACCTCAAGCTTGTCAGAATTTCAAGCTGCTGTGGTTGCAGTGGTTCAACCCCATGAAGCTGCTCCAAAACCACAGTGTCAATCAGCTCTGGCCCAATTGGTTGGAGTTGCACCGTTGCCAGTTGCAGCCTGATGCGGACCAGATGACATTGTACGAAGTGATATGTGACTTGGATGAGTTGGCAGGGCGAGTGGTGGAGGAATACGTCCTATTGGATAAGTCCCTGAAAAGCCAAAAATAGATGAAGTTTCCTGGTGCACAGAGAACTAATCATTTATCAACAGATAATGGTGTATACTGTATACATATATATATATACATACATACATACATATACATACATACATACATACATACATACATACATACATACATGCATACATGCATACATACATTACATACATACATACATACATACACACATACATATAAATGGCGGCTTCAACACAACCCAAGATTCCTCATTTGTAGGTGGTGTTCCTGTTCTGTTTTCCTTTTCCAGGCCTCAGGGAAACCTTGGTTCTTGGAATCCCGCTTGGAGCACCCAAATCTGTCGAGATTCGTATGTCAGACGGTCCCCCAGTGGTTCAGTGGTGGCTTGGGTAAGCGCACTCGGCGTACTCGTTGTCCCATTCTCCCAGCCCACAACCATCATACGGGAGGATACAGGTTGCTAGTTTTGCAGTTGATGGTCATGATGCTAATTCTGCAACTCATCGAGAGTTATCAGATATCACAAGCATCCGTCTCCCGTCTCCAGGTCGAGAAGAGATTGACGATAATGCCAGGGCCTCAGGATGGTTGAGACACCGGTCATTTTGATACGGAAAGCCCATGGCTTTCCTGGAGGAATGATCTATAAATGCTGGGCTTTCCATAGCTCTTGAATTACTGGACATATTGATGAGTCCATTGGTGAGTGTCCAATTAATGCTGCTTGATAATAATTACAACATATTACAACAATGGAAAGTTTTCCCAGTGTTACGACTCGCGTAGTTGCTGGCAATAGTAGTGGCATGTTTAGGCATCGCATACAGTTCCCAGACTGTCAGGGTTTCTTATAGGAGTGGCATGGAAAGTTTTGCTGCTCATTAGTTTCCTTTTTGGGCTCAAGTGTTTTCGTTGGTTAATGTTTCTTTCTTGGTTTTTGAAGTCTAGTGTGTGTTGCCAACAGCCGCTTTGTTATGTTTTTGGTGGGTCAACGCCCGGAAAGCTCAATTCCCTTTCTTGATTCATGGATCTCCAACGTTTGCCTGTGGAGTCCCAGATTTGGCTGCTCTTAATTTCTGATGGTCACATTCCGAATGGTTGCTGTTAAAATCCCTATGAATCGCCACTGTTACCTCGCACATCGGAAAGCCCAAAAATGGTGAAATCCCCAAAGCGTTTGCTGGTTTAACCCATATTACCCCATATATATACATATATATATATATACATACCATATATATATATATATATACACACCATATATACATATATATATACATACCATATATATATATACCGTATATATATATATGTATATATATACCATATATATATATACATATATATATATACATATATATATACATATATATATATACATATATATATACATATATATATACATATATATATATACATATATACATATATATATATACATATATATATATACATATACCATATATATATACCGTATATATATATTTACCATATAGATACATCTATCTATATATACCATAATATATATATATATTTATTTTTATAACTGGGGGTATAAGCCATAGTACAAGCCATTTACTAGTCAATTTTCGTCCTTGATGGCCAGAGCTAAGGACATTGACTCGACGCGCGACGCGGGATCAAGGGACTCCTTGTCCGTGAGGCGGGTACCGTGGAGATGTCGGGGCAACGAAGTCGCGATTTGTTGCTGAACATAACTCCAGGATCTATCAATGACTATGGTGTGTGATACTTATTGATACCTACAACTATAGTATTCATGGGGGTTCGGAACCAACTTATGACTGGGCTCCACATTGGACTCATTTTTTGGCCATGTTTTGTACTTTACCATCCCGAAATAGGTGATAAAGTCTATTTAGTATAGCTGAAAGTTGGGAAAATTAAGCACCAAAACTATGGATAGAAAAGCAACCAGAATGGGGATTTTAGTGAACCAACAATATGATATTGCCTTTGTCCAGGCTCCGTAATAAGGCCACGGGGTATGTCTTTGTTCCGTCCCAAGAGTAAGCTGATAGCTGATCGCTGCCCAAATTGATGTAGGTTAAAAGGGATCCCAGAATTTCTAGGAGTGAAGGACCCCCTTCATCCCCAAATGCAACACATCCTAGTCTTTTGCATTCAGCCAATCCATTGATACATCACAGTGAAAATAATCCGCAAGTGGGTTTTCTCCCCTATATCATCATAGATGTCCTTTTCCCATTGGTTGGTTGATTGAGAGAGGGGTGTGTTTACCCCTTTAACCACAGGTTTGTTTGATGATAGATGGTATACCAAACCGGCCCAAACCTATTTTTACCTAAAGGACATTATGGTATACCAGGAACCTAAATTGGAGGTACCTACCATACACAAGGCCTATATAAGGCCTTATATGGTACTAACGTACCTCCATTTTAGGATCCTGGAATTCCCATTGACTATATCATTGGGTTGCACCAGGGTTACCTTTTAAACATGTTGAAATCACCTGGATTTGGTGGGATGAAATGACTCCGCCAGGGACATTGCATCAGATGCCATGACTGGCAGCGGACGCTTGCTCAGTGCCAGTCGGTTGTCCACGGTTCAGCAAGATGATGGGCCCAGCCAAAGATAGTGTGGCAAATCCCATGATATTGTGCAATAGAATGGGCTACTCAATGCCAATTCAAGATATTTTTTTCGAAAGCTTCAGAAAAATGGGTTGTTGTTTGGTTATTGGATCGGATAGTTTGGAGTTCCGATAGGTCACGTCGCTGTGCCCTTGGACCGTGCCCTTACCACCTGGACCACCAATGGCCAGGTGCAGGTCACACAGATGTTGATTTCGATGTCTTTCGGTACGGGATGATCCTCACTTGAAGTACTATCTATTCAGGCTATGCGTAGGGATCCCTGAACTAAGCCAGAATCGAATGTCCGAGTCCAATGTCCACCGCTAAGGATCCCTGAACATTGCCTCACAGTTCTCGCAGCAGAGCGTTCCGTCGCCGGGAGTCTTAAGTAGATGAAGATTTGATAAGATTTGGGTGAGTCCGACAGTCCCAGAATGGCTTCAAGGGAAAGGCATCAAAATCACGGAATGTTTCTCAGAGACTTTTCTGAATTTGGAATGCCAGTGATTGAAAGTGTTTCATCAGCAAAGCGCAAGAAAAGCAGGAGTTTGTCAAGTTTGAGGATGTTGCTGGATTTTCGAGCTGCCAATTTTGTAGCCCCCTTTTCTCAGAGGGTTTTGTCAGTTTCCGTATCAATGCACCTGAGTTTCCTGATGATTGAGACGATGATCCCAATTGAGTATTGGAATACCAGCATGAAATTTGTAAGTGATCAGCAGCAGATGAGATATCCCATTCGATATCCATTTTGCTCTGTGATAGCTGCCTCAACCAAGGATCCACTCGCATGTGAACATGGGCGACCTCGCCAATGTCGCCACAAATCGGTGCGATGGGATGGGGGAGGTCGGGCCGAAACTACCACAACGGATTTAAGCCCACAAAAGGAATAATTTTCATTGAATGCTGGCAGCGACCAATCCTACGGTTCCCATGGTGGTAAAATAGAGGGATATATACATACACATATTATATATATATATATAAATACACATTATATGTGTATGCGAGGAAAGTGGAACAAAAGACATTCCACACTGGCCCAACCCCAAGAACACAGATCCCAACTTGGCTTGATGGAAGGGTGGTGTTCAATCTGCAGTTCACTCGTGAGAGGTATATGTGTGACCTGTATGTTTTGAGGCCGCTTTTATGCCTTTGTCACCTGGAAAAAGAACCAGACCAAAGCACGTGATTTTGCTGGCCAGTAAAGATCATCAAAAGTGGAGTCACTTCGAGGATATTGGCAATGTAACCTCTTGGGAGTCATGGAAAATTGCTGGAAAATTGCCGGAAAATCCCTCATGTAGTTCCATGATCTTCCCATGAAAGGATGCCCGTTTGGCAGGCGTGAGATGCTCCACCGCTGGTTGGCGGCCAATATGCAAGAGGCCACACCTCCGTTTATAGCGGATGTTCCCAGCTAGAAACCTCCAAGTTCGGGGGTTTTCCAGCTAGCCACGTTTACCAGAGAAAATAAATGCATCGACCAAAAATGAGGGATAGCCGAAATTTTCTGGTGTCATTGTCAGCAAACTTGAATACTGTACCCGTACCCTCTAAAAATTGTTTACAGTTTGCTATGGAAAACCAGCATTTTAATACTCAAATCATCTACGAATCTACAAATAGGCGATGTTCCATAGCTATGCTAGAACAAATTACCAGAGGGTAGTGTTCAACCATCTCAAGACATGTATCAAACGGATGGAGTTTGGCATGGTGTTGCAGGGAAGTCCCACCTTAAATGGATATTAAGACTCAACCCAGCCAAATTATAATCCCATCCCTCTGTTGTTTTTTCCGATATGGAATCCAAAAATCAACAAGTTTAACCCGTGTTTCTCGAGTGCATGACTGGAAGGAATTAGAATGTAAGAATCTATAAGTATTCATCAACAAAAGATAGATATTCCCGTAGAATGGAGATGAAAAATGAACAAACAAAAAAGGTGCCTTAAGTCACAGGATTTGGGATATTGCCAACAAAGACCTCTTGTGGGGGAATATAATGGAGCACTGCATGGTGGTTTCAAATGGCTGTGATGTCCAAGTTGACTTAAACCACCAACCTGCGAACTGTCGATTGGGTAGTGCCATCCCCAAACCCTTGGTACATTGGATACCTGACTTGTGTATCAAATTCAGGCATCCAACCCAAACAAATTCATGAAGTTTTGTTTAACAATATCCCCACCCCATGTGTGCATCCAAGGTGGTGAAAAACAACATGATGCATTGATAGAAATCATGGTTCGTAATTGGAATCATTCCCCAATGGCCTTATTTCCGGTTGGTGAAACATGATACTTTATCATAATTTACCCAGATTCCTCATATTTATCATTGAAAAATCCAATAGCAACCACTCTTCACCATTAAATCAATTAAACCAACATCAATCACACCTGATTTTCGTTGCCGATCTCAGACCAACGGACAGCGCTTGGAGCGTGGCGAAGCCATCGGCACTCCACGCTTTGCTGCTCCTGGGGCCGAATGGCGAAATGGCTCTGGAAATGGCTCTGGAAATCTACAGGATGGGGCCCCCAAGATAGCGTTCAGTTGCCTTATAAGTGGCTGAATGCTATGGTTTATGGTAGATATAACGAACTAGTTAATGGAGGTTATATTGGTTTATGAACCAACTTATAACTGGGGGGCCCATCCTGTATGGAATAGATGATGGATGTGATGGATATTCCATTACGACATGATATGAAATCATATTCTGATGGATATGACATTATGGCTACTATGATGGATAGGACCTTATCATGATATATGGTGATGAAATTGCATGTCATGATGATCATGATGGTTATATCTATAACCATTCATATCTATGAAATGGCTATGGAATCGATATCATATTTTTTACTGCCTTATGATATGAATATTCCATCATGACATGCCCCAAAGTCAAAGATCATGAGCAGGAAAAAAAAACAAGCCCGCATAAATGATGATTAATATAACAGAAACCATCCATTCGTCCAAAATGGCCTTACTGTCCATTTGTTTATTTGGCTTAAGAGAAACCGTCCACAACAATCCGCAGTGTGGCACACCAGCTACTTTTCAAAATGTTGAATTTTCCTTCGGCCCATGGTGGGCCAGATGTAGGAGCAGCGTCTCTAAAGTTGTGTTTGGGATGGCTCAAAATTCGGCCCCCCAAGATATTGAAAAACTTCATGCCAAAGATGACCAACACATGGTTGAGTCACCCGCAGTCATGTGCTCCCTTGAATGAATCAAGCAGCGCTTTAACTCAAGTGCTGGCTTTGGGCGGCAAAGTCCGCCATTGCAATGGTAGCTGCTACCCCATTGGACACATGGCTTTCTGGGCCCCTGGTTCATGGTTCATCTCCCACCATCCACAGATGCTATGGTTTCCCATTGATGTTGGACCCCTCAAGATCCTTCGCTTTGCCATCAACAAAAAACCAGGAACCATCCCACAATGCTGGGGACACCTCCCCCATTTTTCCATCCCAAAATGATGAAAAAAATGATGAAAAATGTCGTCACAACGAGATCTGCCGAAGTTTCAGGGTCCAATGACCCAGGGTGAACTCGCACCTGTCGATGGCGCCAAGAGGATGCCCAAAATCATCGGGATCTCAGGACCCACGCGTGCCGGGAAAACCACGCTGTTCCTTGGCGAGCCGTGGTGATGGATATCTGAATGGTCGCGACCTCACTAGTCACGTCACTAGAATGATGGCTAGTAAGGAGAACTATCCCCAAATAAATGGCCGCAAGTTTCAGCTGAGTGAAATACTTCAATTTACCCAGATTTGTGATGTATGTGACAGTATGTGTCTCATTTGTTGAAAAATCTGGAGTATCTAAGGGTATGATTCAAGCAGACCAAATCATTGGGTGCCCTGTTGTGCTCCTCACTCTGGGAGATAATCCCCATGGGTGATGTTGAGATGTTGAGATTGGACATTTCATCACCTGAAAAGACATGAACTTTGTGGTTTGGGTTCTTCTCTGATGGAAGGTGTGCATGCTTCAATTGCCAAAACATGTCTTTACAGAATTTTGCTTCGGACCCCAATTCCTATCTTTGTTGGTCAAAATATCCATATTCTTGAATTCCATGTGTTGTTGGTTGAAATAGGTCCAAGATCCATGTTTTCCTGATTGAAGTCTCAGTGAAATCCATGATTTGGAGGTGATCAGGTCCAGGGAGACAAGCACAGCGCAAGCGCTTCCCGTTGCGCAGCTTGCGCGGACCGCAGGTCCTATGGCATCGCCCGGACGTTGTGCCCTGGCGGTGACAGGCATATGCCGCGATGTCATAACCGAGACCGAGTCGAACGGTTTCTCAATTTCGCCGCTGGACACGGGTAGAATGGGATGGCAGGGATTGGCACAATCGATTTTCCCCGCAAATGAAGTGGTTGTGAAACGGGCAAAAAAAACTGCTGGAGAATGTAACGTATCTTTTGGCATTAGGACAAGTGGCAGGGCCAGTGGGCTAATGAGGGTTGGGTCACTTTGCCATGAGGCAGATCACGTGGCTAACATCTGCAAAGGAAACTTGTAGAGAGTAAAGTGAGAAAACAGGTAAATCCTTCCGGTAATGTGCAAAATGCAGGCAGAAAGGATGCACTGCCAGTGCGCCAAGTGGTCACAAGATCACAGGTTGACTGCCTGCAGTAGCAAACCATCACTTTCACCCAATGTCGTCATCGAAGTCATCCCGGTTTACATACCATGTTTTTGCCATCGATGAAAAGATCTTTCAAGCAGGAAGCGCCGTGAATGGCTACTGCGTCAGCATCATCGGGTTTCTGGGCTGCGCATGTTGAAATCGAACGCTCTTTGAAGGGATCCAAGATTCTACGATTAGGTTTCCTGGATGGTACTCGTAGTGAAAGTTTCTTACCTGTCGAAAGGGTGTTTTCAAGATCTCAATTTTCACCGTCCATGCGGAGATGTCCAAAATATTTGGGGCTGGGAACTTGATGGGTTGAGGGCCATGGCATGTTCATCCTTTTTCCCCAGAATTTTTCGTGCCCCCGAAAGCCCCTATTTTTGAGAGTTGTGGCGCAAAAAAGTGATTCACAGAGTGACCAAGGCAAGATTCGTACTACAAGACTGGAAGTCCCGTGACCACCTGGGATGCTGGGCATATCTCGAGTCCAAGGGCACTTCACGGGTTGTTCAGCATTTAGGGCGTAAAGAGTATCCTCAATCAGTCCCGGGTTATTTAGAGATACAACCAAAACGTTTTGCATATCCCAACATCAGAAACTAACATCATGTGATACTTCAACTTTTTTGATCTAGGTAAACATTGGTTTGATTGGTTGATTTGCGGCTAGAAATAAGGCAGTTTTTCATGGAGGAGCATCTGATCACACAAGACAATGACTTTTTTTTATGGTGGTCGTCGGATAGTGCAGGAGCTGAAAATCTTGAACATTGAGGCTAAACATGCAGACCCTGCATTGGGCACCTGCAATTTCTGTAGAATTGGACGCGTGGTGCTTGTGATGCTGAACTGCCAATGTTCCCAGTCCAAGATTCAAAGATTGCACCCAGTCCATGGTTTTCCCTTCAAAAACATAGATTTGCTGCGGGAAATCCCTTGGCTCAGGATGATCATGAGGCCATCGATCACCAGCACGTGCTGGAAGCGCTTGAGGCAGCAAAGCTTGTGGATATCAATGGAGGATTATAGATTTTCCGCACATTTTTGTAACCAAAAAGATAGAGTAAAATCACGTAAAATCTTACTCATTCAACTAGAATTTACTGTTCTATCTGGGGGTTACCACAGTCAGATCGAATCAGCTAAAATAGACTTAAATCATGTCTCGCCATTCGGAATCTTTTTCTTCAGTTTCGCCATGTGTTTTGTGTCTAGTGAGTTGAATGAAAGTGACCAAAAAATGGAAAAAAAAACAGCAAAACATGGAGATATGACCCGATTTTAAAGTGGTGAAGCAACCAGATTTTGGAAATCAAGCGGCCCAACGGCACAAGTTGAAACATCCCAAGTTGTAGCGCCTATGGAAAGTCCGATATCTGAAGCCACAAGCATATCGATGGAAGAAAATACTCATCTAAAATCATAGTTCACAATCTTTCACCATGTTGATCGGTTTTTTTTTAATAAACTTCGCCATGTGTTTTGTGATGCTGACTGATTGGAAATTGTACTTCTAGTTATTGTGGATTTAGTATCGCATAATGTGGAAATGTCAGGGATTTGTTTTTTGTCCCTTTCTTTGGTGGGCGGCTACAAGTGGGTCCATCCAAGGAAACATCGCCCATCTGGATCAGACAGCCTTGATGTAAATTCCACGGATTCCGAAGCATTCAATACATTTTATATCATTTGATCGCTGATCTCAAGTAAGTCAAATCTGGTATAGTGATGTATATTGTCTGTTTCTAAGTGAGATGACTCGTCCAAATGACCAGCATATGTTCGGAGTTGGCTGAAACATTGCAATATGTTCCCGAAGAGAGTGGTTAAGTCATGTCGGTCATTCCTTCACAGGGGCAGCAAAATTGTTTGGTGAAGTCAGCCCTAACATGCTTTTGTTCTATTTAAGTCCTCATTGGTAGTGATTAGAGCTCCAAGCTCGAGTCTTTTCTGGCAATTTCCCTAATGTTGATCGGTAAATCCAGATATTTTCTATGAAAGTCCCCATGTTATTTGCTGGATCTGCAGTTCATTGATCATAAACCTTTGTTCGTATCGCTCAAAATGGTCTTTGTCCATCTTAAAACTCCATTTATGTGCATATCACTTGAGTCATCATCGTTGGTTGAAGCCGCTTTTATTCATATGGTGGCTGAAGTCTCCGTCGATACAGGCCGAGTTGAGCGAGCCGGTGGCTGATTTAATCGTCTTCGAGGGATTTAAGGCCTGAAAAAATGGGTGAATAAACAGCCGGCAACGACGAAAATGTGTGCATTACATTGGTTTAAACGGTACCAACAGAAACAGGATAGTTTGGTTTTTTCATCCAGAAATCCCCTGATCTTTTCTTGGTTTTGTCCAAAAATGGGGGTATGCCAGAGAAAATTGCGTCCAAGTTTGAGACGCAGGGAACCCACAGATGTTGGTCCATTTCTATTTCAAAAAGCATGTCAGACATTGGGTACCCAGTTTTGTGCTGCGAGCCATCAGCCTGATCTGATTTTGAGAGACCAGGCCTTCTGGTGCCCGAAGATCGTGGCGAAGTTGGACATCCTCATCTGGATCAGGGTGAAGGTGACCGGATCGAAAAGAAAATCTGTTGAGCGTTCTATCCAGCTATGGGTATGGACCATGGATATACCATGATATACACATGTTTCGGGTACCTGGATGCACCTTGATGGCACCTTGATCATATTCATGGATAAGCGTTTTGCCATGTAGGGAAGATGTCATCGCTAAATTTTGACTCTCTTGTAGGATATCCCAAGGTTAGCCAAGGTTTGCCACATTTTGTTGTTTAGTTGTTTATTTGTTCATGTGAATATACCGGATGTTTGTTGGTGACAATATGATTCTATCCCTGTTATGGCGTCTCCAAGCTTCACCAACTTTCAAATCACTGCCAATGGCCACGACGTGTCGCAGGAAGAGACCTCCAAAGCACGCCGCATGAGATCCAACCGGAAGCTGGGTGGATGTTTTGCTGTGGCAGTTGCATAATTCCAATGTGTGTTTCTAGTTCTCCACTGCCGAAAATTGGAAATGTTGGTGGTTTCAACTCAATGTGTTTCTCTCCTGTCCGGTGGCCGTGCATTGCGCCAGTGAGCAATGCCCATTTACATGTGGATAAAGGAGCTAAACTCTCCATGCTCATGTTTACCGTGTTTACCTCAGGAAGGTCACCGAGGAGATCTTTGAAGAGATGTGGAAGTGGCACGTGGACTACGAGGGTCAGCTGTACCAAATCTTCCAAAAAGATAAACGGATCGTCGTGTCTCGTCTTCAATCGCAAGGGGAGTAGCCTGGAGTGAGATCTTAAGAAATGTGAAGAGGTGATATGAGGTGGGAGAAGATATTGGGGGGGAGATGACTCGTGAAGAAGGTATTTAAGTGTTAGAGACATGTCCTGGCAAACATTTGACATCAGGGGATGCAGATCAAATTGTTGGCCCCTGATTTTAGCCAACATTCAGTATGATTGCGGACACCCAACCAGATGAATTTGATCTTGTTTGAAACCTACTGCTCATGTTTCACAGAAGGTTTGCCCATACCTTCAGTAGATTCCACCATTAAGAGAGTCATGGTCTTTGGAATTTCATCGCAGTTTGTGAGTCTTGAATGGGTGGTAATGATTTACCCAAAACGCTGCCACAGACAAACACTGCTTTTTGGCAAACCATCCCATTTGTTGAGCCGCACAGATCCTCACCGGTGAAGATGCCAAAGAGATGCTTGGCTGTCGTGGACGGTGAGATTGCTGCAGTGAGAAACCTGGTGAAACAAAAACCGTCACAAGATGTCACAAGTAGAGGCTACAAATCAACTTTTCACGGCTGAGTGTAGGTAACCTGCGCCAATCTAGGCTTCAGACATCTTTAAACTTCACCTGTTTTGTATCGGAAATGACCCTGGCTCTGAAAGTGTCAAGAAGTCTAGAAGTTGGGAGGAAAATTTAGCCTTCAACCCTTGCAGGTTCTGTCGACAGGTTCAACCCAAATCTAAATCAAATTCCAGATGCTTGAAGCATCTTGAAACCATGCAATGCTGAAATGGTGCAAACTGATGGTGATTCTTCTCGATGATTCATAGTGATTTCACTCGGCAAACGTTGGCCCGGCCAACCTGAGGCAAGTAATCCCACCAACTCAGCACTAAGTGGGAGCTAACCACGGCTACTTCAGCCGTAGTAAGTACCCAATCAGGATTTTCCCATCTTTTCGACATTCTGATGGTCACCATATGTCACCATTGTCCCATCTTTGGAGACGCAGGAAGGTTCTTGAGGAGGCTCTGTATCATTTGAAAGAGCGGAAGATCGTGGATTCCAACATCTTGACTGCCCGCGAGCGATCACGCTCACGCAGTGCCATGGCGACCTGGGGAGTCGGGGGGACCTGGGGAGTCGAGTGTCAAGTTATGAATGGGAAGATGATGGAAGATGAATAACCGAAGAATAACCCAATCACTCTGGGGTTTTCTACTGAAATTGGTTGCAATAATCAAGTACTGGGATCGCGGCTCATTATCTATGATGACCGTCAACGATGTTTGTCTGCTTCAGAAAGGAAGGACTTTTCAGAAGATATGGGAAAGGACCTGAAACGAACAGCACCACAAACACAGCACCATAATCACGAGGGGCGTTACCACGACTTTACAGCTGGGCACGAAATGCAATTGTTACCACCCAGTGGCGAAACATGTCCCCGTCTTTGGTCACCAAATCTGCAAAACATTCGAGGGCCGAGTTTCAGGCACCAGCCATGGCTCTTGACAGATTCATCCAGGATTCTTGGTTCCCCATCACGCATTATTCACAGTTTATACTCCACTATACTCCACTATTATTGGGTATATCTCCATGGTCCGCATGAATCATTTTGTGGATCAAAGATGATCAAAGCCGCCAAGATACATGGCATAAAGACATCAGCCAGGCTCTACCTCTATGTTAAACGCCAATGCTGCCACCTGTCCCTGAAAGTTTGTCACTGACTCTCAGGGCGAAAAGAAGCGAATGGCCAAAGTGCCACGCAGGACTCGGTGGCCAGCCAACATGGGGAAATCGCCAAGACGTTTGGATATCATGAGATTGATTGAAGGATATTGAAGGCAATGTTGCCAAAAAGCCGATGTTTACCCCTTAGGGCTTTCTCGAACACCAGTCCCGGCAGAGGTGTGAACCTTCAAGATTTGAGGGATTTATCCTGAGAAACTTACCCAGTACCCAATGATATCACCGACTTAGTTGACTGAAGCATCATATGCCACCTGATTATTGCTGAGGGCTCCCAAAAAAAACTTGTTTGGGGGCTTCAACATCACTTGAAACAAAAGGTACTAGTATCCAAGAAATATGCGTGAGAAAGTCGGTTACAAGCCCTTTCAACTGGAATTACATGTAATTCATATGTTCAGTTGCGCTATACCCGTAATATCCCGTGGGTTGCCAGTTGACCTTGAGCTCGTTTCGCCAGGAACTGGCTTGTGCCAACCCCAGTTGCTGGTTCCGGACTTCCCCCGACGAGGCGGACGGCGGCTACTGCTGCAAGAAATGCCACTGGCGCCATGTCCCTTGGATCCAGAGAGCTGATAGGATGCTGATAGGATGCTGAATAGCTGGGCCAAACATGTTGCACTTGGAATACCAGTAGTACCGCACAAGGCCGTGGCGGAAGTTTCAAAAATAGGAAACCTATAGGAGAGCTTGGTTGTTGTGAATCCGGGGTCAGCAAGTTCATCGCGCGAAAAAGAGCAAGGTTGCCATTCCAGATACATTCCAGAGGCTAAAAAATCTCATTCAATCCCAGTCACCATTGCTTGATGGTTAAAATATCTTAAAATCACATTAAAATCCCCATTAAAACCCCATTGAAATCCCATTGAAATCTTCTTTCCATAGCATCCATAGCCACGCCTGGCCTGTTGCCAGCTCTGTGCGGCGACTCGTTAGTGGTGAACCTGAGGTTCAGGCCCATGGGATCCATTGGAATCGAACGTGGAGCAGAGCGAAGCCACTGATGGACTGAAAGGTGCTTGATCTCTCTCACTCTTTCTCTCTCTTTCTCTGACTATCTACCTACCTACCTATCTATTTTCTATGTATCTATCTATCTATCGATCTTTCTAGTGTAGTGTAATGTAGTGTAGTGTAATTTAGTGTAGCGGTGTGTAGTGGAGTGTAGTTGTGTAGTTCTGTAGTTGTAGTTGTAGTGTTGTGGAGTGTAGTGTAGTGTAATGTACTGTAGTGTGTGGAGTGTATAGTGTAGTGCAATGTAGTGTAGTGGAGTGTATAGTGTAGTGTAGTGTAGTGGAGTGTAGTGTAATGTGGCGTAGTGTATTGTAATTTAATGTAGTGGAGTGTAGTGGAGTGTAGTTGTGTAGTTCTGTAGTTGTAGTTGTAGTGTTGTGGAATGTAGTGTAATGTACTGTAGTGTAGTGGAGTGTATAGTGTAGTGTAATGACCCGAAGCGAAGCGAACCGACATCTGAACCTCCAAAAGTGGTCCGAACCCCTAGTGTTTTGTACATTTTGACTTCGAAATGTCCTTCGCGCCATAGCGGCACGCACTTTTTCGACATCCGAACCTCCAAAAGTGGCGCGAACATGTGGTGTTTTGTACATTTATTTTTGGAAATGTGCTTCGCGCCACAACGGCGTACACTTTTTCGACATCCGAACCTCCAAAAGTGGCGCGAACATGTGGTGCTTTGTACATTTTGACTTGGAAATGTGCTTCGCGCCACAACGGCGTCCATTTTTTCAACATCCGAACCTCCAAAAGTGGTCCGACGCTGGTGTGTTTTGTACATTTTGACTTGGAAATGTGCTTCGCGCCACAACGGCGTGCACTTTTTCGACATCTCAACTTCCAAAAGTGGTCCGGAGCTGGTGTGCTTTGTACATTTTGACTTCTAAATGTGCTTCGCGCCACAACGGCGTGCACTTTTTCGACATCGCAACTTCCAAAAGTGGTCCGAACCTGGTGTGCTTTGCACATTTTGACTTCAAAATGTGCTTCGCGCCACAACGGCGTGCACTTTTTCGACATCGCAACTTCCAAAAGTGGTCCGAACCCCTGGTGTTTTTAACATTTTGACTTCCAAATGTGCTTCGCGCCACAACGGCGTGCAACTTTTCATCTCTCATCTCCCCAGATGTCTCCGCACCCGCCGCTTTAGCGAGCCTACTTTTCAACCCTCCGGAGCCACAAAACCACGAAAAAACAGTGTTTCGCAACTTTCCTACCTTTTCGCGCACCTGCATCTTCTTTCTTCCGACCTTTTCTCTTCTGACTCTTCTCCCTGCTGACTGCTTTTTCATCTCTCCATATTGTCGGAAGTTTGACTTCCAAACTTCCTT